TGAAAGAAAACAAGTTAAAGAAACTGGTTTCTTTAAATCAAAGAAATCTTTTCTCTGGTTTTCAAAGAAAATTAAAAAAAAATGTTTAGTAATTTTTTGAATGAAAGTAAATTTTTTTGTTGGTGTAAGAAAAGTTATTTTTGAGTTTAAAAATAATTATTATACACCTAGAAAAAAATGGTATATTTGTCTCTCATAGTCTAATAAATATTTATTTGATTTAAATAAAAAATGTTATTTACGCCAAATAAATGGGCTAGTAGGCTGTGAGACAAATATACGTTTATTTAATTCAAATATATTATATTTGTTTCAAATATATTATATTTGTTCAAATAAAATATTTCTCGGGATGTAATTATATAATAAAATAATAATTTTTAAATTTTAATTTTTTAATATAGTGAAAAACAAAATTTTTGCAAAAAAAATTTTTATTTGTCATATATATTTTTATGAATCAGGTTTTTATCAGTATAGGAAAAATGACGTTTCAGTTTCGATAACATAATAATATAATAGTATATATGTAGCTTAGAGGTAAGATGGCCGGGCTCAAGGATATCATGAATTCTTAATGAGTCGCATTTCGATACCGTTGTCTCGTCGCGAGAATATAGAAGCTTATAGTCAGTGAAGAATGTGGGACGCCACGTATGGCCATCAGGATGAACATTTATGGATATCCCACTGTTCATTCGGCGAGTGTAATCATCACTATTAGAACCACCTACATTAAACTATTTTTTTTTCTATATTCATTTATTCCACGCGGAAGTTTGTTTAAAAATTATTTTAAAAAATTTTTAATAATTCGCTTTTTGTTGCGCGATGAAAAAAAAAATTGGTATCAGATGTTCAATTACGTTTTGCATTGATTTTTTTCGTGACCCTGCTTGAAGGGAAGTCAATTTACATATAAGGTGAATTTTTATTGACGGGAAAAACAACTTTATAATATATACCCCGGGAATTCAAGAACGGAGAGAAAGTCATTAATTGATATGGTTCGACGAGTACTTGTAAAAAGGTGCACTGACCCGAGATATAAACTTCAATTTTTCAAATTTCTTTAAGATATATATTGTCTCAAACAGAAAAACCCTGATTTCAATTATTGTTAATAGGACAATAATGAACAAACAGAAAAAAAAACCCAACTTCTTTCGTTTTATCTCGCAGTCAATATTATTTTATTATATTATCATCCATGTCATTTTTAAAGTGAAATACTAAAAAAAAAATTATCTTTAAAAAGATGAATCATTTATAAGATAAAATTATTTTTTCTTAATATTTTCATAAAGTTTTTTTAATTTTTTACTAGTAAATATTTGAAAATTTTTTCAATGACGAAAAAAAAAATTTGAAATATTTTATTATAATGAACACATGAATTTATAATTAGAGGAAGTTTACTGAATGATTTAATAAACTTTACTATGAAGACAATAAAAAAATTGCGACATAATATTATAAGTCAGGATGTAAGAGAGGAAGATGATGATTTCATTGCACGTAATATTATTACTTTTCTAATTAAAATGAAATGATGAAATAATTTTTTTTTTTTTTTTTTTTCTTAAATGACAATATAAATAAGTGAAAAAATAAACAATAATGATAAAATAGTAATAATTAAAATACAAATTTTTTAAGAGATAATAGTCTTTCAAGTCTCATGCACCGTTGACTAAAAAATTCCCGTTACAATGGTTCGTGAAGTTGAACGTCATTGTAGAAACTTTTTTCTAAAAACATCATTTTTTTTTCTCCGTAAAAATTCCCATTCATAAATAAATAAATAAATAAATAAATAAATAAATAATAATAATAATAATAATAATAAAAGAAATTCTAAACTATTGAATGTGAATTGTATTTATGATTTTCAATTAGTAAAGACTTTCTCCTTTATACAAAGTATCGAATTGGTTCATTTTTGAGAATAATAATTACAAATTGATTTTTTTTATATTTTTGGTCAAATGTCAGTAATTTCACTGGTAAATTGACCATGGCACAGGCTCTGTATTATTGCATAAGGTGATACCGGTTTTATTTAAACAGGATTTCTATTGCGCTTTCTAGGAAGAGAACCGTTGAGACACTTGGTGTATAGTAAAAAAGAGAAAAAATATCAGAAATTTTTTTTTTTTTTATTTTTAAGATAAATATGATCTGATACCAAAATATGATCAATAAAATATATTTATATTCGATTTTTTTTTTTTATATAAATTTTATTTGCGGTATATTAAAGTAGAGAATTCGAGCGTAAAGAAAATAAATGTCGCGTCAATTTTTTTCAAAATAACAATATTTATCACTTTTATTTCGTCTTTATTAAATTTGAAATTGAATTGTGTGTGTGATATTTCCTTATATTTTCTTCCGTGTTGTTTGAAATATTGGCGACAATTCAAGGATTTTTGTATACTATAGTCGGATTTTATTTTTTATAACCTCGTAAATTTTAAAGAGCAGAGAAGAATGATCAAAGAAAATAAGGGAAGAATCTGGACACCATCTGAAAATTCACAAAAGATTCACCTCTCTTATTTTCAATTATATTTTCTTGCATTTTACGTTAGAAAGTCAGGAAAGTCTCTCACAATTACCTTTCTTATATTCTCTCTGTCAAATTCACAGAATTAAAAAAAAAAAAATCATTTAAAAACGTTAAAAAAAAAGTGAAAAAATTATATTTAAAGAAAAAATATATATTATGACACGTTCTATTGTAGATCTTTTATAAATATTTTATATATAGAGAAACAAAAACTAATATTTAAAGTTCGTGATTCTGTGGAGAATTTTACATTACGTAAAAAAAACAAAAACTTTTTAACGATATTTTTCTTGATATATTTTTTTTTACAAAAATATTTAAAATAATTTTTTGTTTAAAAAAAAAATTTTAACCTTTGTAAATTAAAAATATAGACTTTTTGTAATGAACATATCTATATATTTTTCTACTATATTGAGAATCTTAATCAAAGTGATTGTAATCAATGTATACTTGAAAAAAGTTCATATAATGCAACACGCGATGCATTATAATATAAATCTTCGCATAATTTTTCACTATATATACATTTGTTTATTAAATAACGGCGTAAATTTAACTTTCACATGATTTTATTAAAATTTTCCCTTTCAACTATCGTAAATTTATAGACAAATTATGAAATTATAATAATAATTATTATTATCTAAATTTTTAATCAATGAGATTAATATAATAAATTAATTTGTCTAAGAAAAATAAATTTTTTCAAAATTTACCTATACTTTTTTTCTTGGAAATTTATTTTTCTTAGACAATTATAAATTTAAAAAAAAAATTGATATTTTTTTTTTAATAAAAATAAAAAAAAAATTTCTTGTCAATAATGTTTTTTTTTCTTGAATTGTAATTATAATACTGACGTAAAAGTATATGTAATATTATACTTTACTCATTGTCAGCTATATGAAGATGAATATATGGCAGATGTGAAAAGAAATTTAATTGTGTTAAAAAAAGAGATTTGAAAGGCGTCCTTCTGCAAATGCATTTATGGTGTTATTTATGGTCGAGAGTATATAGGCGCAATTCTCTAAGTTGTTTTTTCACTAAAGATAAAAATACATATTATAGACACTTTTTTATTAAATAAATCTTCTTTTTCTATTGTCGAGTTAATATTTATAATCGAAGAAAATGAATTTATAAAATATTCTCAATGTTCGTGACAATTTTTCATTTTATTATATCCATAGTAGATTGTATATAATAAGAATAGATATAGCAGCTGTGATTTTTTGAAAATTTGTTAATGACCCCAACAGCTGGTTCTAGTTTTCCCGACTAAAACATGCTGTTTTTTTTCTTTCTACATATATAGTTCCATAAAATGTTCCAAAAATAGTTTCCGTGCCCCATTTTAAAAAAATAACCAAATGAATATAATAAAAAAAAAATTTAAAGAAAGTAGTTTTCTATTATTTGGACTTAAAATTCCATTAAATATTAATTTTTTCCTTATATTTATTAATAATTATAGATTCGTTCGATAATTAAAATATTCTTCTTCATTATTGTGTGTTTTTAATGTTTTATCTGTAATAATAACGTTCAAATTAGTCTTTAAAAATAAATTAATTTCTCTATCTTTAACAAAATGTGCTTTTAAATACTCTAATATTTTAGAGTAAAAATTCACTCTATAAATAATATTTTCGTATTTTACTTCAAAATAGTTAAAATATTAATCGTTATTAGTCAACTCCTAAATTTTAACTCTCCTGGGAGTTAATTTAGTAAAATTTTAACTTTTTACTTTTATTATTAATAAATATAAGGAAAAAAATAATATTTATTGGAATTTTAAGTCAAATAATAGAAAACTACTTTCTTAAAATTGTTTTTTTTTATATTCATTTGGTTATTTTTTTTCCTTGAATCAAATAAAAGTTTTTTAACATCAAATATTTAAACAATTTATTTCACTAATAATTATTAGTGTATAAATTATGAAAATTAATATTCATTAAATTTGCTAATAGAAAAATTTTAAAAAATATAATTTAATTTAATAATAGAATTAAATAAACATTTATAAAGCCTGGTAATTACCTGACGTAATATAATGTAAATGATAGTAACTTCTTTTCAGTGAAAAAAAAAAAAATTATGCACTTAAGAAGAAATTAATTTACTCAAGTAATACGCGTGACTCAACTATAAAATCCAATAAATGTTATATTTTTAAAATATTATCACATTAAAAATTAGCAATATTTTTCATAAAAATATTTATTAATAGCAATAATATTAATTATTAAAAATATCCTCTAGAATTCAATAAAAGAAAATGAGATTTTATTTTATTTATAATCGCGCATTTCTTGAATCGAATAATTCTTTTTTAAATGAATTTCTTTGGCAAAAAAAAAAAAAACTCCAAAACAAGAAAAGTAATTATTATTATATAAAGTATAGTAAAATTTACCAATTGGACAATTTTGAGCATGCCAGGTTTATTCCTGAAGTACTCCGTATTAATATCATTGAGAGTGAATCCTGGATTTTGTCCAGGTTCTGTTTTAACTGTTGGTACCTGACGAGGATTATTCCCCGTGGTATGAGTTGTAGTTTCGTGAACTGTGACCACAGTTTCCGACATCATGCTTCTCGATGTGTCTATAATAATTATTTAGTTGTTTTTAATCCTTGCGCACAATTTTTTGCACACAATTAATAATTTCGCGAACTGTAAATTCACAGGAAGCACTTTTTGGAAATAATAATTTTTATTTTTTTTAAATAATTTTTTTCGCGCGAATTTTTTTTTTTGACGATAACCCAGGTAATATAAATTTAAAAAAAAAAATAAATAAATTGCTCACCGGATTTATACAGTTATGGGACACCTGTTAGATCACTATTGAGAAGAATTCAGAACACAAACCGCTACAGCGGCAATACCACTGCATACTAAGGCATGAAGCCGATCCGCTACTTTTGCCCCAAACTCCACGTGCCCCTCGTCGGGACTTTTCAGTTCAGTGACGGCTTTTAATTTTCTTGTACCCTTTCGTTAAATTCTTAGGCTTTTATTTAAACTTTTATTTATATATAAAATTTTTTTTTTTAATTTTCAATATTTAAATAATTTTTTTTATATAAAAACAAAACATTTTTTAAATTTACTTTTAACATTAAAATTATGTAAATTTTAATATTAAATTACAATAATTCTAAATAATTAATAATAATAATAATAATAATTTTAGTTGTCCGGAATATAGAATAATGACTTTTAATTATTCAAATATTTCATTTAATTTAGACAATAGTTAATTATTGTCAGTATTTTATTATTATAAAAATTTATATTATATTCTATTCAGTTAATTTATATTTACAATGAAATGACGCATTATTTGACAAACTTGACCGATAATTTATATTTAGATTGGAATTTGACCTGAAAAAATGTCGAAAGGAGAATAACATTTCTCTTGGAATTATAAATTTCTCTTGGACCATAAATAACGCACGAAGTAATAATAAAAAGTTTTAAATATATTTACTTTTAAAATACAAAAAAATAAAAGAAAGATCAAAAACAGTTATTTTTTTATAACAGAAATTGAATGAGAATTTCAATTTAAAAATTCGCGATTTTTGAATTGTGGCGCGAACTCGTTTTGCTTTCATTGGTTGGAAATTCAAAATATTAGATGAGCGACATCTCGTAGCGAAAGTGTACTACTAAATTGTTTGTATATACTTCATGTTGACAATACTGGCGGTAAAACTTGAACTTAGATTTTTTCCTTAAAAGTAAGGAAAGAAAATTGTAATTAATTAATAACGTTAAAAATATTAATGACACTAAAATTGCACAAAACATAAACATTAATGAAATGAAAATGAATTTTACTTTATGAATTTGATTTATTTATACCAGAAAAAATTGCATATAATATGAAAGTCAAAATTTGTTACATATACTTTGGATAGGTACATATAAAAAATAAAAATCGTAGATTTTTCGGTACTACGTAGAACCTGGAATTGGACTTTTTCTACCAACACCAAGTAAATTTTTTACATAAAAATCTTTTCCTAAGCATCATCCTATATATATAAATATGATTTACCCAATATGCTCCTTTAATCCTAAGGATACGATTTTATACGTTTTATACAAATTTCTACAACGTTCGATGTTAATATTTCGTATTACACGTAAAACAGAAAATATAAATGTTTTCTTTTTATTATTATTTACTATATATTTTAAACATTGGTCGACGTTGATTTCATTTACATATATATATATATATATATATATATATATATATATATATATATATATATAAAAATCATTTAGGATATTAATATTCTTTCAACAATATATCTTAGATAATATTCTCAATTAAATTTATGAGAAAAAAGAAAAGTAATAACAGGAGTGTTAAGTGTATCGTGCATTATAAACACGTGCAAATTACCGTAACTTTAAAAATACAGATTAATAAAAAAAAAAGAAGAAGAAAGAAAGAACACACTTCTGTACATGAAAAAATCTCTATTTTTAAAAATTAAATATTGTAAATTTCTTTTCATTGAAACCTGCAACCGGCTTTATCACATTATTTTTTCATCGAGAACACACTGATTTTTTATTTATATATTTATATAAATTATATACAAAATCAGACTTTCGTGATCTCGAGTCGAAAGAGTTGTTTGTTTTTTTTTAAGTAGAAAATATATAAGTAGTCTTTGTAACAAAAAGAAATAAACATTTAGAATGCCTTGTGAATGGCTTTTCTTTCCAATAAAATGTGCATTAACTCTTTCATTTGTAGTTATTCTAAGACGACATTTCGTAGTGAATCTTCGGGATAAGTTTCTAAAATTGCTATGGTTCCCATTGGAAAAGGAATGGAGATACCGCCATCAATAACAAGCGCAGAATCATGACACAATGATCGAACCATTACTTTCATACAAAATCCTCTTGGATGCATACTTTTTGGCAGTGGCCAAGTTTCCGAGACAATCATATCGCGAATTGCATAATTCATTCTGCCGTCCTCTGTAAATGAAAATTAAATATTTTTCAAAAATAATTAACTTAAAAAAAGGAAATTTAAATTTATAAAAAATTAGAAATTTAATTCTTTACCTTCCGAGAATTGCAACCTATTATTGTACTCGGAACAAATCTTTTCAACTTCTTCGTTGAGATAAATTTTTTGCGGTTCCGCAAAAGATAAAACTTCCTTAACTGTCTGTGGACTTAGACAACTTATCGATCTGAACCAACTTGTTGAACCTGTTCCCGTGCTTACACATAAACCTGAACTTTTGATTTTGTGATATTGTTCCTCATCGTCCAATTTAACAAGTAGGGAACTCGTTCTTGCTGATAAAATTTCGCCTATAAATACCTAGAAAACATAAAGAAAAATTGTAAAATTACAAAAAAAAAATTTAAATAATTAAAATTAAAAAATATTAAAAATTACTTCGTTCAGAGCTAACCACGGAATTCGTCTCTCTTCTGGAAGCTCCTGAGTTGTATCTACCATATCCTCTTCTTTCTCAAAATAAAGCCTGTAACAAAACATAAACAAAAATTAAAAATTCATGAAATTAATTTAAATTCAAAAATTTTTATAATTATTTTTATAAATGTTACAAATAACAAAGTACCATCATCAACATCCTCATTATTTAGTCTCATAATTAAAGCAGCTTTATCCCTTAATCGATGTAATGTCATTAATTCATCTTGAGAAATATTTTGATCTTCAAAAAAATTTATTAACATTGCAGCCGCTTGTCTTGCGTCATTTGCAGTAATATCAACAACTTGTATATTAGGTTTTATATCAATATAATCACCATTCTCCTCTTCTTGTACAGAACGAATAATTTCCTCATCAGTGAGAAATATTTGCGATGAATTATCATTACGAATCCAATTCATCACATTTTCTCTATTAATTAATATATCAAATGTTTGTAAAATTCTCATCAATTGAGTAACATTGTTTTCTAATTTATTTGTATTACTCTCATCATCCAACCAAACAGTACTCCATGAATTATTAGTTACCGAAATTTTATGCCACGCTTCCGATAGCCAATAAATAACATTTTTAATATTAATAAATCGCAAATAATCCATAATTCTATAATCATCTTTAACATATTCAATTATATTCGAAATAAATCCTTGACGATAAAATTCTTTTAAATTATCAACAACATGTTTAGTCACTGATTGTATTATTGGATTAACATCTTGGGGTAAAAACATTGTGACAATATCGCCGTGTTGCAATTTTTCAATATCAGGATGAGGAAATTGATTATCAATTGTTAAAATAGCTTTTACTGGAAGTCCTTTTGATTTTAAAAAATGCTCCACTTTTGGTACAAAAACATCGTCAAACCATTCTTGAAAAAGATTTGAATCTAATAGGGAATATTTTCGATATTTATAATAAACTGGAAGACTATTAAGTACTTCGCCTCGTGATGTACGTGGACTTGGAAATTGTCCAATAATCATTAATGGAATTTTCAATGATCCTGATGCATTAACACAAATAAGTATTGTCAAACGATCGATATTTTTTCTAAAATATGGTACATCACGTTCCATTTGATAAATTAATGATTTAATTGGAAGACTTAAATAATTTAATGTTGTCACATTACAGTGAAATATTTGATCGTGTGATAAATTCTTTTCTTCCACATATTTCATTATAATTTCATTACATTCAGTGACAAGTTGTGTATCATTGGGCGATGATTCAAATGTCGATAAATCAACATTATATTTATTTTTCCAATTTTCAATCCAAATTTGTGAATTAAATTGTGATGATCCAAAGAGTTTTTCATTAAATACAAGTGCCTTACTTCGTATTTCTTCTTTAGTAACAGTGTTGATTTGATTTTTCATCTGATTATACCATAGATAAACAGCATCACCTAATTCTAATGGTTCACCAATTTGTTTATCATTTTCCTCTTCATATTGATCAAAATTGTTAAAATTTTCTATTCGTGTTCTTTTGACACGCGAAAATTGTGCCATTATTCAATAAATTTATATTTTTCAATAATTCACAAAAATTTAAAAGCCGAAAAAGAATATTATTTACATTTAACTCTTTTACGCGAAATTTGAGGTTGGAAAACAAATCACAAAAATTATTTCTCTCATTCTCCGATAGAAGGAACCTACATCGCGAATCAGGGACGTATTACAAAAGCAATTTTATGATCTAAATTTTTATTAAAAAAAAAAAGATAATTTTTTACTGCAAATTTTATTGTATGTGTTAAAAAAAACGGAATAATCTAATTCGAAATTAAAAAAAAAAACGAAATAAATTATTATTTATTATTAATAAATAATTTTATTGTAAAAATTTTTTTTAAATAATAATTATTGACGATAAATAATATTAATAGTTAGTAAAAAAAAACTACTGTATTTTAGATCTTTGTTTAAAAAAGAATTTTACAATCAGCACATTAAATTGCAACAAAATGACTAATGATTTTTTCAAGGATTTCTATGCCTATGTATAATGTATAATGTTATATATATATATGTAAAGACAAAGAAACTATTTACCTTTGATTCGATGACGTTCGACATTTTTCATGTAAATGAGATGGAGGTCCCCAAATATTGTCACCTTTCAATGTAATTCGAATCCTCCTTCTCATGGCAAATTTATATTCACCGTCCTTTAATTTACGAAAAATTTCCGGTATATCCTCAGTATATTTTGCTGGCAATAAAAGAAATCCCTCCGACGATTCAGGATCAGAATTAATGCCCATTATTGGTTTTTTATTGTCAGTTATTAAATTGGAGGCCAATAAAAATGTTCCATCACCTCCAACTGGCAAAATTAAATCAGCCCATGCCACACTTGAACTATCTATACTCAGCCTAAAATTAAATTTGTTTTTCTTTAAATAATTATTCATTTTTTTTTTTTTAATAAATTCATGTAAATCAAATAATTAAATTAAATTAAAAATATTTTAAAATGCAAATTGATCAAAATTTGTTAAAAAAAAAAATCAAAAGGGTCACAAAAACAAAATGTGTACCTATCCATAATTTTGTATTCTATATTGAGATTCCTGAGAACCTCAGTTGTTCGCAATTCTGCAGCTTTATTCCTATAGTGACTGGTGAGCATTGCCTCGTAATCGGAACCTCTTTCTTTCAATTTAAGCCTGAGGAGAGATTCATCGAGGTCAGGTTCGCGCATTTTTTCAAACTGATATCGTGAAATCTTCGTCAAGACAAGAACTCGCTTTGGCACAAAACTTGATTCCTTCCGTGAAAATATTTTAAAACTGCTTAAATTGGATCGTACCTTATCCGAGAATGATGGACTAAGAAATAATAACACCTGCAGCGATCCTAAAATGAAAAAAATAAAAAGAAAACCAAATAAATATTATCTCATATTCATTAAAACAATATTCGGCGAATAAATTGCAATCAAAAAAAATTAATTGCGCTTACTTTTAGTTTCTCTCTTGATCACATTGGAATTTCTATGCAACATTTGCATTTTTTTTTTCAATCTTGTATATATATTTTTTTTAATTATACTGAGAAAACTTGTACTTTATATTGTTAAGAACTTTTTTTTTTTTTTTTTTTTTTTTACTATTTTGTAAAAAAAACTTGTATAACTGCCAATTTTAATTTACTGAAAAAACAGTTTATTTATTTCTATAGGAAGCAAAATTATTTTTAAGCAATCTATTTTTATGTAGAATTCCATTAGTTGCATAAGACAATAATTGAGGTCATAATAATAAGACAACACTAGTATAAAATGATATTGATTGGCTTTTTTTTTTTTTTTTTTTTTTTTTTTTTGTATTGCGTACTTTCAGCAATGTAATTTTTAATTTGCAATTTATTAATGAAAATTAAAATAATTTTAAAATAATGAAATTACAATTTGTTTTTGTACAAAAATTGTGAATGGGCAAAAGTTTTTTTAAATAAACAATGTTCAATTGAAAATTTGTAAACATAAAATTTATATCATACAATCTCTTAAACATAAAAAAAAATCATTTGACATTTGAGAAATTTAAAAAATTATTGATAATTTACATTAAATATAAGTAAAATATAAAAATATTTATTCTGACAAAAAAAAAATGTTAACTCAGTCCTGATATATTGCATTTTCACTTTTTTAAGCAACTCATTCGGTAATTATTATTATACCGGTTCATAAATTCTTATGCAAATAATGTGGATCTTAACAAAAGGTATTTGTTTAATTTTCTAAAAATTGCAAACAATACTAAAAACTAACAATAAAACATGAAATAAATAAGCGAGAGATAAACCTTCAAATGTGACCTAACCTCTTATAACCTTAATACATATAATTATGTGCGTATAATTTTTAGTAAAAATATGTTCTTTTAAAATTTTTTTTTTTTTTTAATGAAATAATTGAAAAAACTGACAAAATGAACATCGTGAGAATATACAACAAAAACAAGTTGAAAAGTAATTTAATTCGTAATAATAAGTTCCTTTTTTTTTAATTTAACATATATGACGAGTCACCTCATTTATTTAACTATTATACAAAAAAGCATATTTAGGTAAATAATTATTTAATACACACTAAGGAAATTGGAAATAAAAAAAAATAAATAAATAAATATACTTACGTTGTACTTCTCTGTACAGGTTTTTGCTGAAAATCGTCATTGCACTTATTTTCAAAATGCACATAAGCATAAACAAAAATTTACACGCAACACAACATAATCCCCTATCAACAACAAGTAAAAGTACAAACACTAACAAACAAGCTGTAATCAGTACAATATATTATTTTTCCCGGGATAAAATATATATTCTTTTCCACCAACGAGCAAATATACGCAACCTAACTTATTCTGACAAGTGTATCGGCAATAAAGATCTCTGTTAAACTAATTACCATTTCGTCATCATTGATGAATCACCTTTTTGAAAGTTAAAATATGTAGATCAAAGTTGTTACATCAGATATTATATAGAAAATTCTTTATAAAAAGCAGATACAGTTTTTTTTAAACTCCTATTAAAATAATGTTTTTATATTTTTATTGCAAATATTCACATATATAGACACGTATATTTATGTATACATAGATAAAAATTTTTGCGGGAATATTTGAAATTCTCTTCAATTATAACTTAATATTAATTTTAAAACTAACGATTAAATGATTAAATTGAAAATAAAAATCTACGAATTTCAATAAATAATTTATGAGTGAAACAAAAATAATAAGATTTAAAAAAAAATAATTATATATTTTTTGCAAATAATTTAAATTTGCGATTATTACGATAAGTCTTTAAAATGAAAATAGTATAAAAATAGTTATAGAAATATTTTGAAAATTAAGTGAAAATATTTAATAATGAATTTTAATTAAAGTTAATTAAAAGGGAAATTTTTTAAAATAAAAATTTATACAAAAGAACTTGTCCCGTTTTATTATAAATAAATATGTAATTAAAAATTTGAAAAAATTATTGAAACGCGAAGATCTTATTTATGGAAATAAAGAAAACTAATACACATAGAAGAGAAATATTTAATACCCTATAGAGAATAATTTAATAAGATCACAAGAGTGTATGTTAATCACTTTTTCAGTGAAAGTGAAGCTACAACGAGGTATTTGTTTCGTAAACACAAGACCTTATCGTAAACGCGCAAATAGATCTGAGATTGAAAAGAAAGAAAGAAAGACAAAAAAAAAATTCAACACGATGCTAAAAAGAGGTCAAGTCTTTAAAAAGATACTTTAAAAAGTAAGAAAACGCAAAAAAAAATTTTTTTTTACAAGTAACAAAACAATATAGTTTGTTTTACACGCTTCGCTTACACTTTATTAATTCTTTTGCAATACATTAATTAAGTCTGTTTAAATAGCATTGCAAGGTCACCTATCGTAAACCTTCATTTTTTTATACTATAGACAATCAATACTTCTATATTCATCGTCCCATCATTACGCTTTCGTTACTTTTTTTTTTTTTTTTTTTTTTAAATCGTTACGGTAAAATCGATATCGGTGATCGTTTACTGCCTTCGCTATTACAATTAATTATTACACTATATAATATACCGTAAGATCGATGTTAAAAATCAAAATTCGTATAAAAAGCGTCATTACCTAACGATTTTTTTTTTAAATGTATCAGATAAATAATTAAACATTAAGGAAAAAATAATTGTTTTTTTCCTGTCATCGGCTTTCAGACGATCATTTTAAACACGCTCGCTATTACACTAACGCGAAATGGCAAATCACACGCTGATCAGAATGTCGGCATCAGAACCGATGCACAGCCGATTGAATTTTTATATTAAAAAAAAAAAAAAAAAAAAACAATTTTTTACTCATATAAAAAACTAAATAAACCCAAGAAAACGAGAATGAAAACAGTAAATAAAACGAGAATTATGAAATAAAAAAAAATGTCTAAATAATAGTTACAAATCAAAAAATGATGAAAATAAATATCATTGTACTTTAATTTTTGCTTTTACGAACTCAATTTCTTGTCTCTTAATATTGATCTTGACTTTTTTTTTCCTTTTAATTGGCGCAGTACATCGTTTCTTACAGGCGCATTCCTCGCGTGCTCTCTCTTTTTTTTAGGCTTTGTCTCGGTATTAGTACTCTTTTTACTCGTGCAAATACTTTTATTCTCTACTAACGTTATACAGTATTAAGATAACTGTTTATTATTTTTTTTTTATCGTTATCGGAAATAATTTACATCAACTAGATACATATAAAACAAGACGTCAAATGTCGAGCAACATTTGCGTTGTCAACATTTTTTTCTTTTTTTTTTCCTCTTCTTCTTTTCATCGCGACAATACTAGAAAAAAAAGATTGCCAGGGATATTATTATTTTTTTTTGCTAAAAAGTAGTCGCATTCGTTGGTTCGCGATCTCTCAATAAATTGTCGAGGCATTCCTTTTTTTTTAAATTGAAACTTTGCTCGACAAAAAATTCGAAGATTTCGAGAGACTTTTGTTTTTGGAAAAAATCGTTTTTATGGATTTTCTATTTTTTAAAAATTGGACGTCAAAGAGCACGTCATTTTTTTTACATTTTCAATCTTTCTTTGTCCACTATTAACCATGAAATTCGGTAATCAACGTGTATCATTTTTTTTTTTTTTTTTTCTTTTTAACAAGACACTTTCCACTCAATGGAAACACACACGCACACACAAGCACACTAGTGATTGGCTGAAATAATCCTATTTTTTTTTTTTACAAACACGGATCCAAATACTTTTTTTTAAGTTTCACGCCTTAAATTCTAATTTTTTTTTGTTTTTTTTTTTATTTTTTTTTATATTTTTTTAAATAAAAGGACTTTCAAATCGAAAGATTTTGGAAACACAAATTTTTTTTTAAATGAGAATGTTAGTCAAATGTTTAAAAATTTTTATTCTATTTGAAAGTTCCTTTATCAAAGTGGAACTATTTGTCAATAGGTTTTTTTTTTTGTTTATTATTATTATTAGAACTATTTTATTTCAACAATGTATTGTTGAATCCTAGTTTTCGATCGTTTTTTTTTTGTTTTTTTTTGTTTTTTTTTTTTTGTTAATACTTTACAAATAAGAGTCAATTTCGTAAAAATACTAAGTTTGCCATCAATCGTCACACACTCTTTCGATCTACTCGCACAAAAATTTTTAAAGTTGTATATTTACAATTAATTAGATGATAATTAATTATGATCAATACAGGATGTTCAGTTTTATGAGAAAACTTTTTTTTTTGTACGAAATTTTCATCGTACTTTTATTTTATAATGCGAAATTTGAATTTACATTAAAATACTGACAACTTGTGATTTAATACGTCTCTTTTGTTTTATTTTATTTCTCGCCTTTTTCTTTTTTCTTCGTTTATCAATGAATGACTCTTGTCAATTCATCTCATTTTTGTTGTTGTTTTTTTTTTCCTTAATACAATCGCGACAATCCAAAGCTTAAATAGCAACAATAGAAAGTTATGGAATGGCGTTAAATTTTCGTTCTTAGACTATTTTTTAATAAATCTCATTCGCTTAGAATTGTAGTTTGAAAACAGTCGTTACCCTTTTTTTTTTCTTCTTTATCGTGCTCGAGTTTCGATGAGCGTGAGTGCGCGTACAAGTATTAATTAATCGACTATATGCATATCTATACACTGTATAATATACATATTTATACACATATATATCTTTTTTTTTTCTTTCTCACATTAATTAATTATTTTGCAAAATATTTCTTTAAACCGAAGATCCATCGGCACTACAACTATATTTAATATAACCCGGAATCTCTCCATAATCTCTTCCTTTTAGGAAGAAATCATTCTTGTGTATATAATAAGTACATCGACCCGCTTTCGGTTCAATCTAAATTTTTTTCTTTTTCGTCAAATTTATCATTTTCTTTTCTTAAAAATGCAGTTTATTAAAATAATAAATCAATTTTAAAAAAAAGTACTTAACAAAAAAAATTTGTTAATTAATTTCAACTAAACATGTTTTTTCTAACGATCTTTACTGATTCATTTATTTAGAAAAAAAAAAATCTCATCTCTATTTAATTAAAAAAAATGATAATTTAACGAATCGTTTTTTATCGTGACTGAAAAATGAAATGTGTTTTAAATTAAAAAAGAAATATCTTCGAGAACGAAAGAAACATTGCAAAGTTCATCAGGCTTTAAAAAATCTATAGTTGATTCAAATGAATCAAAAAGCAGTCTCTTGATAAGAGAGTATATTTGTTTTAAGGGGGAAAAAAATAATATTAATAAGAGAACTTGTAATTGGCAATTGAACGCTAATGCCGCAGACAAAATTGAAAAAAACCAAAAAAGGAAAATAAATAAATAAAAAAAAAATCTATTCGATTTTTTTAAGCGTATCGCGATAATAATTGTCTGCCGGTGGTTTTTTTTTTTTTTTTTTAAATAAATGATGACCGCTATAACGCGATCCACGAATAATGTTGTCTTCGAAAAAAGATTAAAGTCTTGAAATTTGAATAATAATCATGCGTGGACACTCGCGTTCAGCTTTTCAGTAATAGAAATGTGCAAAACTGTTGCAGCTGTTGCGAGCGCGTGCTGAACCTCAGCTATGAGTCTGTGGAAGAGGTGGTGGCAGTGGCGGTGGACTGCCAGTAATTTCGGTCCATCGTGTCTCAAAAAAGTTGCGCATTGCATGACCTGCCTTGCCAACTGGACTGTCATCCTCGTTGAAAATTTCACAATTAATAAACATTTGTCTCACGTCGGCACAAAAATCATCTCGCGACTTGTACCTAAAATAGAAAAAGCAAATTACTCATTTTAATCGAGTTTCATTTTTTTTTCTGACAGATTAACAAAACAAAATTAACTCGTAATAGTCGCATTTTTTATACATGATAAATTTTAATTATAATAAATCACAGTTTTAAAACAGTAAATAATAAAATTAATGCAACTTCCTCAAGAAAAAGAAATAAAATACTAACAAAAAATAAAACGTTTAAAGAAAATGTAAAATAACTAAGTGAAAAATAAAAAAAATTTTCATTCAACAAAAAAATATAAAAGTAAATAAAAAATTTCATAAACAGCATTTTTAGAAGCTTTAATTATTTTATAGTTTAATATTTACTTTTTGGATTTTTAAAAATTTATATGAACAAATAAATTATTGTAAACAAAATTAAACTACATTTTTTAAAAATACTTTCATAATAATTAATCAAACAAAATTTTTTATAAATTTGAATTAGCGATGGTTTTTTATTAATTAAAAGTTGTTTTTTTCAACGAAAAAAAATCCATTCTCCTCTGCAAATAAATAAATAAACGTTATTTAGCATAAAAATAAAATTATTCATACATATTTCTAGATTTTTTTTGAATTCTTAAAAATTTTAATTAAATAAATTAAAAAATAATAATTTAAATTAAGTATAATGTAATAAATAAATTTATTTCATGTATAAAAATAAAACTAATAATAAAAATAATAAAAAATAATAATAATAAAAATGACAATAGCACGAATTAAATTATAAAAGCTAACAAAATAAATAATAATCAAATTTTAAAGACGAAAATTTTAATTAGCCTAATTTGTACTTTACATCATTATTTTGAACAAACTAGAAAACAATTATATTTTGAACATTAAAGAATTGTAAATTGAATATGTTTTCTATTTATATTACTGATTTAAAATAAAAATGTAAAATACAAAGTCAAAAGATATTGAACACAAAAAAAATCAAAGTAATTAAAAAAATATAAAATTAAGAAAAAAAAAACATTAAAATAATAATAAAAATTCAACTTACATGGAGTCCTGTAATTTTTTCTTAATCGTACTGAGATCCATGGGCGTTTTGATAATTTTCTTATAAGTTGGAAATTGTTTTGTATTTACTGGCAAGAGGAAGGGCCATGCTTCGTCCTGTTGTTCCAGTTGTTCAAGAAGTACTTTACATGGGGCAATTTCACGTTGTTGTTTTTTCGTCAATGTCCGGTTGTTGGCTTCCTTTCTAGGCGATGGTGTTGGCGTTGGTGGTTCCGATGAGCTCACGTCCTCCGCATGTGTGTTGGACGTCGTTGATGGCGTTGGACTATGGCGCAAAATAACATAGAATGTTAAACAATTTTTTTTCTTGTCAATAATGTAACCAGCTAGTTAAAAGCTTCTTGATGTTACAGACTCTCCGGTGATACAACGCTCGTTTCGTTGACCTTTAAGTACTCTAAGCTTAGCGCAGCGCTAGGCGCTGTTTCACGTAACAAACACAGAGTGCAAAACGTAGAATTCAATTCAGGTTTTGTTTTTTTTTTTTTTTATCTTTTCTTTTCAAAAACGAAAGATTAAATAATTGTATATAAATTTTACGAGAAACAGCGAGGACAAGTCTCGAAATGCACATTGAACCGAAGGGCTGACATTTTTTGGGGAGGGGATTTTTTTTTTTTTTTTTTTTTATCTTAATCACCTAGCTGGTGGATGATCAGAACTTTCACTCTCTCTGGTTGTTGTTGCTGCTGCACCGCCACCTTTTTCTCCTCCTCCTCCTGTTGTTGGTGTTGTTGGTGTTGTTGCAGTTGCCGCTGTTGCTGCAGCAGCTGCTGCTGCTCCACCTTTAGAATGACTCCGACGACTGCTATTTCTTTTCTTTGGTTGTTTACTATGACAATTTGAGCAGTACCACTTTCCTCTCGGCATCTGTAAATTTTTGAAAAATTAAATTATAAAATTTTACTAATCCCAATAAACGACTTATTTATTTATTTAAAAAAAAATTTGATAATACCTTTGGCATTACAGGATTATGACAATCGGTATGATAAGCCCGGGGACATAATTCACAAAGCACCAAATTCTTGCCGACACGTTTCCCGCATACAAGACAATTTCGTTCGCCGGTCGCCTTGTTCATGCACTCGTGACAATACCTGTTAATTAAAACAAAAAAAAATTATTAATTGCCCGAGAAAGAAAAATTGAAATAATAAAAAATTTTAGAAGAAAAAAAAAACTCACCAATCTCCATCGGGAATGTTTTCCATTTTTGGACGGAAACAATAAGTATGGTAGCCGCGATCACAGCCGTCACAAAGCAACAACTTATCTTCATTATCGCCACTATGGCAAAATTGACAATTCTGTAACAGAAATCCCTTTATTGTTTATCTAGAAAATAATTTCTTCAAATTTACGGCATTTTTAAGCGCATTAAATTACAATAATAATAATAATTAAATCACCGCATAAATAAGGATTCAATAATTAATAAATAATTAAAAATTAATCAGTGTGAAATATATTTAAAAAATGTGTTTAGAAAATTTTCTATTTTTTTTTTTTGTTTTAAAAAAATATGTATATCAATATACTTGAATCCTCATATAACAATTAATAAACATGCAATAATAATAATAATCGATTATTCTGCGTAATTATAAGTGTTTCATGAGTGTCTTTGTTAATAAAAAAAAAAGGCGTGTACAGCTTGTGCCAAGATAAAGCAAATTAAAGCATAAATCAAGTGTACAAAATAAAAATTAAATCAAATATTGTAAGAAAAAGCATTTTTTTGAGCCATAAAAAATATTTCGTTAATTTCTTTAAACCTTTTAGAATGAAAAAATTTTGTCAGAGAATAAAAGGCATAAAAAGCTTTATAATTTGATTAATTGTTAACAACATGCTTGTTTTATATCGACATATACCTCGGCCTTCTGTTAAATCACTGACTCTTAATTGTCATAATAATAAATTCTGAAATGTAAAATTACTCATAAATAAAATTTATAACTAAATAATAATTTAATTTGGCTAATTTAACAAAAAAAAAAAACAATTAAATATTAAATAAAAATTAATTAAATAAAATATTAAAAACGATTTCGAAAATTAACGAAAAATAAAAAATTTATACTACTTTGTTTTCTTTTTTGAAAATAAAATATAAATTAATACTTGTTTAAAATTCAGAATCAGAGATATGGAAAGGTAAATTGGATGAATTTTATAATAAAAGGAAAAAAATTGTCTTCAATGAATGATATTAATAATTGATATCATTCATTTAAAAACATTTTGAGGTATTCGTAGGCACCGCTTGGATTGAAATATAATAAGTGTTACACTGAAATTTACAAAAAAAAAAAAAAAAATACGTGATTAAAAAAAAAAACTACTTTGAAAAGTTAAGAAAAAAAAATCAATTATCCAAAAAGAAAATTCGAAAATAATTTTGAAAAAGATAAAATGTTTAAAAAATATAATACATAGAATTATATTTTAAAAATGAATGCTTTTTTTTATTTATAAAAAAAATAATCAAAAAAAATTATTATCAGCAAAATAATAATTAAAAAAAACAAAGAATTAATATTATAAAATGAAATTTATATTAAAGAGACGAATTTGAAAAATTTGCATATGTGCTCACACTATCGAAAGCAGTGTACACGAAAGGAAAATTTGGTAATGGGTGATAATTTTCTCTTTGTAAAGTGAAAATTAGGGTGGAATTTTTTAAAGGCGGGTTAATAGAGGGAGAATCCGGTTAGTATTTATTAGCCGGGGATACCCACAGAGGCCTGAGTAGTAGTCAATAGCTGTTTGTACTGAGTGGTAGTAGTAGCTTTGAGTGAGACGCCGCGATTTCGTTGTTTCACGCTGCTTGGTTTTCTAGCTCGTTTTAGACTCACAGCCTTCATGATGCTCTTGTCCCAGGCGATGCTCGCTTCCAGCATGTAGAGTGCCATCGCCAATTGTGCCGATGTGTGAGCGCGTGCCGTTGCTTCACGCCAATTATTCAAACCCCTTGGTGTTGTTTCTTCATGATGCGGAGGTGGTGGTGTTTGATCCGATGAATTTGAATTAGCTGCCGCAGCTGCTGCCGCCTGTTCCGCTTTTAATGCCGCCAAATTTGGATCACCAGTGCTAAAAAGAAAAATTGTTTTTAAAATAAAAAAAAAAAAAAAAAATTTTTTTAATAAAAAAAAATTATTGTACAAAACATACCAAATTCCCAACGGTGGTTTCAAGTATCGTCGTTCAATTGCCGCTTCGAGGGAGAGTAACCTTTGTCGCGCTTGTTCAACGGCGCTAACTTGTTCCATTTCATGGAGTTTTTCAAGTTCCTCAGCTTCCTCGGTGCCGGCTCTTGGTGGTAATTTCCATCCTTTAACTTGCATACTTGCATTCGCAACTTTATCCTCGAGTGCTTCGACTTGTTCGAGGAGTTGAGCGTCGACTCGCAATGCAACTTGTTCGCACCAATCCTCAGGATTGTCAGGCTTTGGAATTGGTAAATCTTCATCGTCACCATCGCCACTCATATCGGTGGCTGTCATATTTCCTGGATCGACATTAATTTTCCCCGTCACTGCCAGGAAGGATTCCATAGTTGCCCATGTTGTGCGTTTCAATTCCTTTTCTCTCACGCCACGCGAGTGAAGATGTTCCAATAATTCTTGAAATGTGTCCAAGTCTGTTATTCTAAACCAACCGTATCGCAAATCTGGAAAACAACATTTTTTTTCAAAAAATTGATCATTTATTGTGAATGAATATTTTTTTTTTTTTTTTTTACCATTTGGCACTGGTTTCGCTTCGCCAGGAGGCGGTAGACCATGGACTTTCAGGTACTCTAGTTGTGTTGCTTCATCCTGAGTCAAAACAAGAGGCGCTGGACTATCACACCTGTCATAATTTGGACTAGCTGGTGGTGGAAAAACTGGAATTCTAAGCTCCGTTGGTTCGACAATGCCGAAAATTTGTTTAGTACTTGGTCCAGAAACGTCGCACGTCTCACGCGGGAGAATCGAAAACCAATTTGTCTCATTGCTAACACCTGATTTTATAAAAAAAAAAGAATTAATTTTTTGTTTTTAATTTTAATATTATAAAAATAAGAAGCTTACCCGTAATGAAAGTTCCATTGATATCTTTACCATTGTGCAAATTATTAACATGATTAAATTTATCACCATTGGGAATAGCCTCAACAATTTTATCCTCCATTTTAATAACAGGTTTCGGTGATTTCTCCTCACTATTCTCCTTCTTGACATCCTCCTCTTTAACATCAACATCCATTTTTATTTCAGTTTCCTGTTTTATTTCCTCAGACGTGACATTTGTTTTTGCGTCAGTCATATTATTTGTATCGACATCATTCTTTGTATTATCATCCACACTGTGTTTTGAATTCTCAGCAATACAATTAATTTTCTCCTCTTTTTTACAGTTGACATCATCCACCTCAAATTTAGTTTTCTCATCAAGTGGCTTTAGATTCTCCTCTTTGTGAACTACACGCTCTTCTTTTACTTCATTTGGTGCTTCATTCTCACGATTCTCCGTTCCTGTTTTTACTTCCTCTTGTTTTACCTCAGGTTTCTCTTCAATTGGCATATTTTTATATTTCTCATCGAGTTCCGCTTGAAGATCAAGTATCTCGGGTTCTGCACTCTCCATTGCCTCAACAAATATTCCACCAGAGCATGGTAATTCCCAATATCTCCTCCAATATCGATCTTGTCCAAAAACATGTGCTCTCAATTGCTTTGACGAGCCATTCAATTTTTGCAATTGTTCCTCTGATTGTTTCAAAAGTTTATCGAGTTTTTTACCAAGTTCCTCGCCTGATAAATTCTTGTCCTCTTCCTAAATTTGAAAAAAAAAGATTAAAAATTCGCAATTTAGAAAAAGTAAAATACAAATAAAATTAACAAACCTCTTCCGGTTGAGTTCCTTCACTTTCATTTTCAGACATATCCTCAACTTCATCCTCATGATGTATTTCCTCAGGCGTTGATGTTGTTTCAACTGCTGACGATGTTGTATTTCCCTCCTCGTCAACCTCTTTCTTCTCAATTGTTATTGTATCACCAGTCTTATTGACAATAACACCCACCGCTTCCATTCTTACTTTTCGACTGTGTAACTGTCTCAATCTAAAATTTAAAAATTAATTAAAAATCAATTTAAAAAATACACAACTTATTAAAAATAAAAATACTCACTTCCTAATTTTCGTATCAAGAACAAATCGTTCCTTTTTCAATTGTGCTACAGTTTCCAAACTCCCTTCAATTTGTTTGATCACAGCCTTATTTTGTAGCAATTCATTGCAAAGGAATGCGAGCATTTGCGCTTTATGTGTGGAATTTAAGGCGAGGAACGGTTTATCGCGTAATCGTTCAGACATTTTCCACGTTTCATTATTATGAAGATGCTCATAGAATTGAGCATTTTTTCCTGAACAAGTGAATGCATAATCACCACCATTTTGATGATGATCGGCAAATTTTTTGTCCCTCTCACGTTCAAGGCAAACGCCAGTTAATGCCTTAACTTCACCAGTTGCATTTGCATAGAGATAAATCCTTAGGACTTCGCTAATATTCGCATGTGTAATGTCCGCCTGACGAAGACTTTGTCCCAATCCAGTTGTATGTCTAGCAGGTTGCGGTATACCTGGATCTTCAATTGCGCAAACTAATAAATGTGTCATCACAGATAACATTTCCTCCTCGGCTTCCTCGTCATTCAAAAGTGCCATTTGTAAACTTTTTAAGCTTGGTAGCGAGTCCATGTCTAAAAAATTTAATTAAAATTAATAATTTTCCATTCTTTTTCTTCATAAAAAAAAAAGAAAAAATGTTTTTAAAAGGAAAATTTTCAAAAAATACAGAAAAAAAAAATTGAAGCCTTACCAAAGCCTAAGGTTTCGCCAAAGTTGTGTAAGAATTCAAATACCATGACAATGTCGGCAAAAGCTTTTCCTGACAATTTTAGACCTGGTATACGTTTTACATCCGGCAATGCTCTATGATCAGTGAGTTCCATATCTTCGACAGGTTTTCTGATTTGTTCGACCAACTCCATTTCCATTTTTCTCTGTTCTGCTCGTTTTTCCTTTGTCGCTATTCTTTCTGCTCTGGCTTCAAGACGTTTCTTCTCTCGTTCCTCCAATTTTCTTCGATTTTCCAAAGCTCGCACCAAACCCATATGCTGTCTTCGTCTTTCTCTCTCCTGGTGTGCATGAAAATATTCATTATTATTATTATTATTTGGTTTTTACTTTCAAATCAACAAATTCAAAACTTAAAATTCGTTTTCGTAAATTAAATTTTTGATTAAAAAAAAAAGTTTTATTAAATAAAAGAAATTTGTTATATCAAAACTTAAAGAAGAGAAATAAAAGAATATATACTTCAAGAAAGAATTTGATTGTCTTCTTTTGAATTATTCAATAAAATTTAGAAGATAATTTTATTAGTACAAAAGTTTTTTTTTCTAAATAAATATTTTGCAGAATATTATTATTTTTTTTACCTAATTTTAAAATTATATTCTTTTTACTTATATCTATAAATTAAAATTCGTTTTTTACAAGTATTTTTCTCTATTACACAGCTGTATTTAGAAAAAAAAAACCAGAGAAAAATCGTACAATCAACAAAAATCAAACACTCGGATCAATAAATTATTTAAAACAAAGAACCCCACAAAAATTTTACTGCATTCAATTAACAACAATCAGTTTAGATGGCACACATCATTCATTATTTTTTTTAATTGTATTGAATGTCATTTAAAAATTTAAGCTTTTTTTTAAGTTTTCAAATAAAAAATAAATTTTTCTTTAAACCCGATTTTAATGGAATTAAATAAATGAAAAATCTGATAGATTAATTTGAAATTTGTATAAAGTGAAAGAAAACGAAAAAAAAATTACATTTTGTTTTTTTTCAGCAAAAAAGGAAAAAAAAAAAATTGCTGAAGTTTTTAAAAAATTCTTAAACAAAAATTAATTAGGACATATAAGCGCAAAATTAAATTATTAAAAAAAAAGAGTTTCAGCGAAAAAGAAACATCAAGCAACAAATAGTTATTACAAGGAAGAAGAAAGTACAGCGACGATGCATCTCGCGAGACAAACTGTGTATAATAATGAAAGTGCACAAGATTATTTTAATTTATTAATAACTATTTTAGAAGCATCGATGATTTTATGAATTGATTGCAATTAGGATGGAATTATTATAAATACATTGTCAGGAATTCCCATAAGTTAGTTGTGGATAAATTTTCTCTCTTTCAAAACTTAGCTTCTTTAAATCTCGATAAAAAGAAAATATATATATTTTTAAAATAATTATTTTAAATTTGTCGATTGATTGATTTAAAAATTTAAAAAAAAAAATTACAAAATATAAATGTGAGATTAAAGTAACTAAAAACTGAAAAAAAGATATGCTGTAAAGTGGATTTTATTATATCAGTGCAACCTATAAAGCCTTAGGGATGCAAATCGGATGGTTGGAGATTTTTAGCATATGATTTAAAAATTAAGGATTGGATAAAAAAAATTTTTGTTAGTTTTTTTTTTTTCTTTTCTTTTTTTGGATTATGCTTAGGTGTTAGGTATGAGACATACCAGCTCGACGGTGTAGAGCATCTCGCGCTGCTTGGTGAGCTCCTGCATGTAAATCTGCGGCACAAAACACATCCAATCCACCAGTGCTCAAACCACCGCTACACTCAAGTAATAATCTCTTTCTCCCTAAGTCTCTTTTTGCCTTTTATCATCTCTTAATTTTCTTTTTTTTTTAATTTTAATTTATTTTTTATTTCCTGTTATTCAATTATTTTTTCTAACTAATTAATTTTATTTTCTAATTACAAGAATATTTCTTGAATTTCCTTTTTCTAAACAATCTCTTTTTCCTGTGTAGCAATATTTTTTTATTTAATTTTTGTAAAATTAACATATTTTTTTTTTTGAAAAATATTATTTTCTTTTCAAAGAAAATTTAATTCACGTTTGTGAAGAAAAGACGTGATTAAGACGAAGAGAGAAAAACTAGTCTTTATATATGTGAAAAATGAAATACAGATATATATATATATTTCACAGAAAAAGCTCTGGACAGTCACTAACGAATCACTCTTATTGTTAAAATGATTCATAGCAATGAAAAAAAAAAATTGATATGACCATCAATTTTACAAGTCAAGGAAAATTATTTTTTAATTCAATGTAGGAAAAAAAATGTAAGTTAAAAATTATCAGTTACCAAGAAAAAAAATTTACTGAGTTTCAGATTTAATTTCAAATTTTGAATTCTAATTAATAATTTTTCTTGACATGAGGAAAAAAGAAATTCTAGAAAAAAACATCTTTTCAAAAGAGACTATTGGAGATATATACTTGAAAATGAAATTGCATTTTGATTTATCAGAAAAAAAAATATATATATATAATTCCTGATAAATCCTTATTGCACAATGAATGATTGATATGAAAAAAATATGTAAATGAATAATGATAAAAAAAAAAAAAATTAAAATAAAAAAAAAGAATATTAAGTAGAGCGCTAAATCTACAACACAGTGTACACTCTACTATATATTATTATATATATATATACCAAAAGTCCAGAAACTCATGATAAACGATAGATATTTGCAATAAAAAAATAAATAAAACGTAACTACTTGATTAAAACACAGGAAACATAAAACTACAACAATTTGGTGATAATAACAAAAGCAGAAGAAAAATTTGTAGACATGTAGACTAAATCTACAGCACACTTGAGACTATAATTTGATAATAACGAAAAAAAAAAATAAATAATAATAATAATTAAAATTCTATTATTTATCAAGAGATTCACCTGTTCCTTCAGCATTACCGCTTGTTGCTTCTTAAGTTCGCGCTCCTGTGAAAACAGGAAAAAATGACCACGGTAAATGGATGACATATGAAAATTAAAATTAATAATATTTGTTAATAAATTGATTTTTGGGAATTATCAAAAAAATTGTTAGAAAAAGCCAAAAATTTATGAAATGAAAGATAAACTGAACCGTGCTCATAAGCTTTAATTAACCACATTAATATGCAAAAAATGCTTTAGTGTCTTATGGAATATGCATGATACATTTTAGAGTGAAAAAATTTATATCCTACTTTCATTATTTTCAAAAAAAAAAATTTCTCTTAATAATAGCCCTGAATTTTTTTTCCAATTAAAAATACATATTTTATTTAATTACAATTTTTGTTTGAAATTAAAAAAAAAAAAAATTATTGAAACTTTTTTTTAAGTGTCAGAAAACTTTTTTCTTAAAAAAAAATTGTGAGATTTTTTTTTCTTTTTAGTGGTAATACACTTCATTTTCTTCTATATAATGCTCTTTTTATCTTGAAAAAAAATTGCTTTCTCGATATTACCCTGCATATTTCATTATTTACTAAGGAGAACATTAAATCTTATTTTACCTGTTGCTTCCGCTGTTGCTCCTCCATTCGAGCCCTCTCGACCTCTTCCTGCCGCTTTTTCCGGGCCTGCGTACATGCCACACACACGTCACTCACATTCATGATTTTTTTTTTTATATCCTTAGTCAATTTTTATTATTATTATTATTATTATAGAAAAAGTTAAAAAAAAATTTCAAATATTTATTAAATTATATTGTGTTTGAGTCCAGCAAGTTATAGAAAGAGATGAAGAAAATCAAAATTCAAATTTGATTCAAAAATAAATTTTGTTTTCTCTTTTGAACAATTGTAAAAAAAATTTAGTACCTAATTAAAATAGAAAATTATATTTTTTTTATATATGATCTTTTTTTAATATTATATTTTTCAAAAATAGAAAAAAATAATAACTATTAAACTTGCTGATCTCATTTTATTGTTGTAAAATAATTTTAAAAAGTTTTAAAAACTAATTGCAAACTACAAACAGCTATTAAAGGGTTCTAAAGTGTTTCAGAATCTTTGTAAATAAATAAAAAAAAAAAAATTATAAATATTTTTGAAAATTCCATTTTAAAGTATTTATTTTGTTTAAAAAATATTATATTAATATTTTTCTCCCGAATAATTGTCATTTAGAATTTATTTTCTTAGTAATTACAATTAAACTTAATAACTAATAAAAAAAAAAAAATTATAAATTTTACTGTAAAATTTCGTTTATTACTTTAATAGGAAAAATAAAATTTATTAAATCTTTACTATATCTTAAATACTTTTTTTTATTTTAACTTTTGATTTTATAAAACTTTAGAACCCAAAAATAAGTTGTTAATTATTTTTCATTCATGTATCGTGTCAGTGGAAAGTAGAAAAATTTTGTGCTCTACTGATGTCGTAAATGTCTCGAGAAATTTCCGTGGGAATACGTCTCCCATATTAATATTTATTTTTGTATATAATGTAAAAACATGCATTGCAAAAATCTACTGTTGTGAAAGAATTCCTTTTTTTTTTTTTTTAATTTTTTTGCGCTACTCGGTTTTTAAAAATACAACAAAATTTTAGGCGCGAATAGAAGAAAAATATCATTCAGAAAGAAAATTTCTAAATTTTTCATTATTCTTTTAAATTATAAGAAAAATTAAATTAATTATCACTATAGTAATTTCAAATGATTTTCTCTTTGAAGTTGATGAATTAAAGTTACTCACTATAAGCATCACTAATTTATATAAAATAATAAAAGTAATTTAATGAAAATTCTTTCAAAATCATATTTTTAAAAATTTTTTTGATTTGATTCCATTTAAAAATTAAAAATAACTAAATATAATAAATAAAATTTTTCTTATATAATTAAGTTTATAATTTTCTATAAATATTAAACTCTTTCTATGTATTTTAACCCCATTTAAATATTTATCTTCACAAGGGAATTGAAAAATTAAATTTAAACAAATTCAGATCACAATTCCAAATAAACCAAAAACCATTTAAGAATTATGAAATTTTAAATTAGAAAAAAGAATTTTTTCGCGAAATTAAACCTACAAATTTCTTTTTTTTTAATCGTCAAAATTGAAATTAAAACTAGTTCGAATGAATGATAGAAGGAAACATGCAAAAAAAAATTTGAATTTCTTTTTTATTTATCGAAATGGCGAATCAAGCAGAAAATATGATGATAAAGATGAGAAAGTCAAAATGAATATAAATACAAAAAGAGAAAGATACAAATAAGTAGAACGAATAAAATCTTAACAAGAAAACATGAGAAAATGGAGAATTTTTTTATTTTTTATTTACGTAGAAATATCAGACAAAAATGTAGAAATTGAAACACTACGATGAAAAAATGTTTCACATTGAACCAACACCGAGAACAAAAATGATAAAGAGAACAAATATGAAGAGAAAAAAGATGAAGAGATGAAGAAAGTAAAATTTTGAAATCGAAGCTATATCATGCAGGGGGGCCCAAGCAATTATTATTATTATTATTACCTATATAAAAAAATGCATGAAAAATTCCATGTAATGTCGCTTAAGCTTATACATCTTAACAAAGTATATAGGAAACGATATATGAAAAAAAACTAATGAGAGGAATATAATATTAAAACGTATACATAGGATAAAAAAAAGTTAAATACGATTTTCAAAAAAATAGTTCAATTTAATTGATAAATACTTGGCGAAAATATGCCCCTTAAAAAAGGGGAAGAAATAAATTCGCTGATATTTTTTTTAATTTTATAGAAATATGCAGTAAACGTTGCATGCCTGCGATTAGCTAGCTGTTATAATATATATATATATATATATAGTGACAGGAGAAGCTGACAGAATAGTTTTTATTTTTGGCAGAATAATTTCGCACCAGCTTAATAATTTCTTTTTTTATCGAGTCTTCCTAAAAATTTCAAAGCTCGAGACGCTTTTTTTTTAAAAGCACAACTCTCACCTTTAGGGTAATATATTATAAATATTTTTAACGAAAGATAAATTAAAAAAAGGAAAAATATTTTTCAAGCTTTCTATCAGTATTTTGCCCCTGGTTAAAAGCTTATACAAAAAAAATATCTCTTCATACAGCAGATAAAAATAGCACAAGAAAAATAAGTCATTAAAAAATTAAGGACAATTTCATGGCCATTACGAAATAATTAATCAAAAATTTTTATTTTTCATTTTAGATGAAGTCCGTCTTAAAAAAAAAAAATGTTAATGATTTATAAAAAAAAAACAATTTATAAATAAATGTAAAATTATTTCAAAGATTACTTTTTGTATTAGTTTAAAAAAATTAAAATATTGTTATAAATAAATTAAAATATTGTTATAAATAAATTAAATGATATTTAAAAATAAATAAATAATAATAGTGTTGATAATAATGATAAAATTCGAAAATAATTCCAAAACTAACTTAGTAAGTCATTCACTAATGAAATTAAAGATTGTAATTTAACAGAATCATCTACATCTTAAAAGCAGAATAAAATCTAATAATCATTTGCTTTTTCATTTTATGATGGATTCGAATATTTTTCATATTTGAAAATAATAACAGGATTTCTGTTTTTTTTATTATTAATAATTGAATGATAAATTGTAATTATTATTCTTTTCTTTTTTAAATAATTTTTATGATACAAAAAATTAATTAAGTATTTAGTAAATTGATAATTATTGAACTAGTATAAAAAACAAAATTATTCATAACAATTTACAATAATCAAAATTATTCGTATCCAGAGAAAAAACAAAAAATAATATTTTTAAATCTAAAAGAAATCTAATCTAAAATAATTTTGTAACTATAAAAAATCGATTAACATAAAAAAAAAACAAAATTAATCGCAAATACACAAAAAAAAAATTATTTGATTTCAATAATCGGTTACTTCACTATTATTTAATAATCAAATAATTATTTGAAAATAACCGATTATTTGAATTAAATAGCATTTTTTTTAGAGTTCGTCTAGAGAAGAGAACCAAAAAAAAAAATAAATAAATAAATAAAATTGAGATAATAAAATGTATGTACGTGCTTGTTTGTGCTAAAGCTTTCTAAACCATGCAGCATTCGTAGGTATTCAGAGTGTTTTCTTTTTTTAAAAAAAAAACCTTCCGGGAAAACAATAGAGAAGCCGATAAATAAATTTCGTTAAATAAAAAATCGTCTCCGGTAGGAAAAAATAACGCGCCTGATTTTTTTGGCCAGTGTGTATAATAAAGTGTGTCCATAAGCAAATATACTTTCTAATGAAGAAGCCGAGGAGGAAACCAAGGAGTATTTTTTTTTTTGGGGGGGTGGGTAACGATGAGAGAGTGACTCGTCGTGTCTCAATGACCGGATATGAGAGACACTAGAGAAAGAGAAAGAGAGAGAGAGAGTGAGAGAGAGATAGACAGGGGTGTCTAAATGGATGGAAAAGGTTTTTTTTTTAAAAAAAACTAATAATGAAGGAATTTCCTGGGGTATTTTTTTTTTCAGGGAGAGCGTCTTACCTCCTGCAGCAGTTCCTGATTTTGCGTTAGGGTGTGGATCTGGTGCATGTTGTCCAGTTGTTGTTGTGACGGTGATGTTGTCGTCATATTTGTGATGAGTGGCGATGATGATGATGTTGTTGTGGTGGTTGAGGCTGTTGATAGTGGTGTCAGCAATGAGGTTGACAGCAATGGTGATGATCCAAGATTGACAACACCTGGAATGCTGGTGGTGATGATTTTTTTAGCTGACTCGATGTCCATGTCCGACTGCATCACGTCACGATTCCTCCAGCTCTCGGCGATGCTCTCACGATTTTTCCAAATTGTTGCCACAGTGCTGCTCGCCAATCCCAATTCCCGGGCCACATCGCTCTTACTTTTTCCCCTCTCAATCTCTTGGATGATCTTCATTTTCTGTTTGATTGTGAACGCGAGCCGCTTTCGACCCTGCATTCGTGCCAGGCAGCCGCCAGGCGGCTACTGTCAGTCCACAGTGGGCTAATATTTTTTTCTCTGACTTTTCTTTTCTCTGCGTGGTGATAGTGTCCGTGTGTGTGTGTGTGATAGAGAGAGAGAGAGAGTGTGTGTGGGTGGGTGGTGATTTCTCATTTTTATTTTATTTACTGGGTGAGTGAGGTGTTTTACGAGAATACGATTGTTTTTTTTTATTTGTGTAACCAAATGCAGGGCAAAGTGAATTAAAAAACGAATGTGGATCAAGAGTGATTTTTTTTTTTTGTGATTTCGTGAAAATTTTTGTGAATAAAGAAGGATGGGTCAGTGGAGCGTGGCGAGTGAATGGATGATCGATCTTCCTTTCTTTACTTTTTTTTTTTTTGTTTTTTTTTTCTTTTCTTTAGCTAGTGCATTAGATAATTTTTAGGAAAGCCATTTCCAACAGCTCATGAAAGTCACAGTATTTTCAACTATTTACACGACTACTCTACACCGAGCTAATTTCTTCCACGGAGGGTTTCAAATATTTTTAAAAGTACTTTTATTTTGAAAATTAAATAAACTTTCAGTATTTTTATTTTTTTTCAATCTTTAAATATTTATTATGTCTTCTAATTCTAGAAATTATTTTTAAATAGTTTAATAAATGAAAATTATTATTTTTTTTTAAAATTAAAATAGTTTACTCAAATAAAAAAGAAGATTTTTATCAAAAAATTGTAATTATTTTTAATTTTGATTAAAAAAAAGAATTTTTGAAATACTTTTATAAAAATTCTAAATAGAGATGAAATTCCTCCGCGGAAGATAAACTCCTATTTTTACTAACCCGAATCTGGCTGTTTTCCGCTTCCTCGTAGAAGAAGGCACAACTCGAATGATTTCTCCTCTGTTGATAAAGCATAAGAGAAATACAATCAATCAAAAAGGATCGGATCACAGCCAGGATGAAAGCAAAAGTGAAATATGAATATACATATCGGCACTGACTTTTTCACACTCGCGTGCACCTAAATTCTCATTTCGAGTCTTGGAATCTCTTTTAGGTATTTTTTTTTTTTTTATTTTTTTGCTTTGTCTCCAAATAGACAATATTTATATATACAATATATATAAATTGTGAAACGAATAATGTATCGCACAATTGTTTTTATATCTTATCACGTTTGCTGTTTCTTTTTTTTTTTTATTTATTTATAAATATATACATTTATTAAAATATAAACCGAAAGAAATAACCTCAAAGATTGAAAAATTCATTTAATTTTGCACTGCTTCGATAAAATAGAAAACCAATTTGCGATTGAAACTCGGCTCGGTCGATTCGCCGAGTGGTGGGTGAAAAAAAGCGATGCAAAATACGTTTCTGTCGGGTGATATGACGTTTTGAACGTAACTCAAACGAAAAAAAAAATAAAAAAAAAGAGAGAGAGGACATGCTGGGCTCTCCTGTCACTATTGCTAGCGATCTTTGGTTGGCGGATGTTTCGGTTTTTTGGAATTTTTAGGTCTGAGGTGCGGTTTTTTGGTATCAAGGAAAACGAGTAAATGTAATTAACTAAATATATATATATATATATATGAATATATATATGAAACTATCGATTTAAGGAGTGTATATATGTAAAAATATACAAATATATATACAAATATTAATATATATGTATATATATGTGTATATAAATATATAAATGTAATATAAATATACGGCACACACAAAGAGCATGCGACACACACGTTAGGTGGACAAAATACAAAAAACGTAGGTATCCCAAGTAGAAAGAGAATAATAGATTTTTTTTAACGAATGAAACAACAAGATGGAGACAAAATTTAAAGGTACTCGAAAATGACGATGACTCACCTCCAAGAGTTGTTGATTTCTGATCTCACGCTCTCGTCTAACAGCTTCCTGGCGCTCATTCTTTTCTTGCTCCTTTAGTAACCTAAATATTACAAAAAATCGAATTCAATTACTATTTTCGCTAAATTATTTATTAAGAGAATTTAAAAATTGTTGGCTTTAAAAAAATTTTCTTACCTGGCTTGCTCTTTGTGACGTTGCGCTTCTTCTTTGGCGAGTTTTTTGGCATATGCCAATTTGTCCTTCTCGTATTGACTATTGACCCTACCGTCTCTAAAGCCGCCAGCGGCTTTCAATTCTTCTAGTCTTGTCGCTACTTCTTGTGAGCTGAGTCGCACAAATTCAGCCTCAGCCAAACCCATCGTTGGCTGAAGGAATTCACCAACAAGTGGCTTTGATGAAAATGTAAAATTCATCGGTGTCAATTCAACTGGATTCTGATGCTCGAGGAACTGTAAATTTTAATTAACTCATACACATTAAAGAAATAAAATTACCATCACGTTTTTAAAAATTAATTAAAATTGTCAATTAATAATTTTTAAAATTAAAAAGTAGAAATTAAAATATTTTTTAATTTCAATTTTTTTTTTACCTTAAGAAGTTCAGGACTATTTCTGAAAGTTTTTCCACAAGGACTGTGATAAGAAACTTCGCCTTTGATAACTCCAGTTTTACCAAGACCCCTGATGATTGTCTCTCTCTTCCATCCACGTTCAAGGGGAATTTGAAGATCTTTCTCACTAGAATTAAGTTTCCTCTTTTTTGCGCTCGGTATACCTTCTGCATTATCATCGTCAGTGTCTGTTATCGCGTCAGTATTACTTTCACTCTCACTGGTCACATCCATGTTGCTCTCCTCACCCGAGACTTCCAACAGTCTATTTTTCATCTTCTCCTGTAAAGATTTCTATAATAAAGGCGCAGGATTTAATATATAAATCATAAGTAAAAACAAACAAAAAATTATAAATTTCCCGTTACTAACGCAATATATATTTATAAAATGACAGTCGAAACAAAACAATAACAATTGAAACACGAGAAATTTGCAAAATAAAAAAATTATTTTTTTTAAATAAATAAATGATTAAAGGTAATTTGTAAATAAATATTAAAGTACAATTTAAAGTAAACGGAACTGCTTATTGAAAATTGTTTTATAAAGAATCGTATTAAATAAAAATTCAGTCAAATGAAAATTTATTTAATTAGAAATTTGATTGAATAAAAAATTGAATGAAAATTTAATTGAATCTAAATAGATACAATTAAATATAAATAATATAAATAATAATAAATATAAACTTTTGCTCCGGAAGTTACTATTTTTACTATTTACAGATCAAAATTTACCAGAAATGAACGGAAATTCCGAGTAGCTTAGAATTTATTACGGAAGTAGTAAAAATTAATTTATTTTTGTTTTCCATTTTTCTCCGTGTAAATAAAAATTTCGTCAATTAAAAATTTTGGAGCAGTAAAAAAAAAAAAAAAAAAAAAAACTGAAAAAAGAAAGAAATATTGAACATACTTGATTTTTGTCGTCGCCCTGGAAGAGAGTAGCGTTAAATTGTTGAGCTGCGAGTATATTTGACCTGAGTAATGAGACTTGATGCGATAAAGGAACATTGGGATCAAGTGAACCTGGCGTTGGTTTAATACCAAGGGCTCTACTTTGCGCCAATAGTGACGCGACTGTATTCTTTTTTGGTTTCGATACACCACGACCAAGATTTCTTGGTCTACCATCTTTATGATGTGTTGCACTTGGACTTTCACTTTCCTCGCTGCCGCTACTTGGTCGCGATGGTGAATCAGCGGCGGCAAATAATTGCGCCAACGATGGCGACGGCGATGGTGGCACTGGCATTGAATTTTGCGGCACTCTTCTTGGCTTTGGACCTGGTTTACGCCGCGCTGCATACGAATTATTTAGATTACAATCTGTTGCGGGAAGGAAACAATTTTTTTTGTGTAAATTAAATTTTTCTGCTTTCAATATTTAATTGATTGCAATATATGAATTTTTGTGATGCGAACACATTTTCGTGTCAATGTGTGAGACGATGAATTGACGGGGGGGGGGGGAATCTTCCAAAAAAAAAAAGGAATCAAATTGTCAAACCTGATTCAAAAATCTGAAATTGAATTTGTGTAAGGAAAATTTTTCTTGATTTCGAGAAATTGATGACGTGAAATTAAAAAAAAAATAAATTTTAATGACTCACATGTTCGATCAGAAGCGAGTAGCGATTGACTCAGATTACTGAGTTGAGTGAGGGGTTGACAACTGGCTGTTGGTGAACTGCTACTCGTCGAAGAAGGTTTCAAGGAAAGATTTAAAGGTGCATCGCCATCATTTGCACCGCTGGTATTACTAGTCGTGTAAGTTGGTGCCGATAGAATAGAACCGTTAGTTGAATGCGCTGGCAATTTAATTACTTCAACCCTGTCCGCGGAATCTCTGTACTCGCTTGATTCATTCTAAAAATTAAAATATTTTGCAAATGAATAAAATTTGAAAATTAAAAAAAAAAAAATGGGAAAATAATTATAAAACAATTCTTACCGGAGTGCGATTGAATTTTCGTGCTTCTATCATCAAAGATGGCGGGGTATTTGTTTGATGTCCAGATAATCCTGTACCAAGGACGCTGACACTTGGCGAGTCGAGTGAGATCGTTTTCTTTCTGCCTCGATTCGTTGTTCCAGGAATTTTTGGACCAACAATACTCGATGTATACTTAATAATTTCCGTGTCCGGTGGCAAACGAACGCCACCCAGTATACTGCTAGGATCACTAAAACAATAAAATAAAAATTATCGATAAATAAAAATGGAATTATTAAACTAATTTTTTTAATTCGTGAGGGAGGTAATTACCTTCCTTCCTTTGCAGAACTGCGTTTGTTAAGCGTTAAATAAAATAATAATGAGATGGTGATTTTTTTTTTTTTAAATTAAATAATTTTCTTACCTAACAACATTCGGTTGCGAATTGGTTGTACTGCTCGTTGAAGATGTACTACTGTGATGAGTAGTTGCAGTCGTAATCGGAGCCTGACTTGTTACTGTCAAAGTATTTGTCAGACTATGAGTTGTTGAACTAGTGCTGCTTGTAGGAGTTTTGTGACTCTTGCTTGACTTAGCTGTAAAGATAACAAAAAGAATGTGAATTTTTTTTAAATAAATAAATAAATAAAATGAAAATAAAATTTTAGATTTATAATATGTGGGAATACTCACACTTACTGGACTTGTGAGACGACGATAGGGACGATGGATTAAGTAAAGAAGTGGGATAAGGAGGTAGAAGGCTTTCTGCACTAGGTGGAAACCCTGAAAGTCCTGCGGCTCCTTGTAACCTCGCGAGGTAGTCCTGCGCAGCCAAGTGCGAAGCCATTGTCCACCAAGCTGCGCTCGCAGGATTAATACCTACAAAAAAAAAAAAAATTAGATTTTTTTCACAATATTAATATAAATAAATATTTTTAAATTACTTATGGAATAATAAAATTGAAGTTTAGTGAAAAATTATTCTTTTTATCTTGAAAAGGGAAAATTAATGGAAATTAAAAAAAAAAATTACCTAAGCTCGCAGCTTGACTGGCAGCAACACTGAGGGTTCCAAGACTACTGTGAGAATAAGGTGGCGGAGGTGGTGCGGAAGCTGGTGTATGACCACCATAACCAGGAGCAGAACCACCTCGACCCAAAATGGCATAAGCCGAGGGCAAATGATGTGCCCCCAGTCCATATCCTCCAGGTATTCCTCCAAACAATGATGACGCTGTGCTGTCACCTCTTGGCCAATACGCTGAAAAAAAAAATTACACCAATTAATATTTTGAAATAAAAATTAATTTTTTATTCAATAATTTTTCAAACAAAAAAAATTTATTTATTCAATTAATTTATTATTAATTAACGAAGAAAAAGAAGAAATAATTTAAAAAACAAAAATATGAATTTTAAAATGGATTTTTCAAAAAAGGGTAACGACTCCAAAAATCATTGAACTTTTGACAAGTTTTCGAATATTTGAAGGTGACCTCGTGACCTCGTAAACTCAACTGTTATATATATATATATATATATATATATATATATATATATATATATATATATTTATTTCCGGAAAACATTAAACTTGCTCGATTCTGCAAGTAGTTGCTGTTAGAAGTTAAATTCTGGCTTACAATATGTATATCGAAAGTATGAAAATCGATACAAAATATATGTATATTATAGGCAATGGATGAAAAAAAAGAATACATTTTATATATATATAGACAAAAAGGAGAATATTGAGGGACAAGAAAGTAGAATAACATCGATCGTGCCTAGAAGATTTACAAAAGTTTAACTCGAAGGGATAGGAAACACGAAGGGTGCATAAAATCACATTCCCTTTTTATATAATAAAAACAATGATAATATATAACGATTTTTCCAACAATTTATATAAAAAGAATCGAAAATATTTCAGTCTTTACAAAATGTTTCTATTTTTTTTTTTTTTGCAATTAAACTTAAAAAAAATTACCGAAATAAATTGAGAAAATATTAAAATTAAAAACAAAAACTAAAGAAATGGAATTCAAAATAAGAAATTAAAATTCATAATATTAAATAAAAAAAAAAAAAATTAAAGTGAAAAATGTATTTTTAAAAAAGCATTTTCCACAAAGAAAATTTATGGAGATAATAATATTTTTAGGATCATTTTTCAGTCTCCGACTTATATATTTTGAAAATTCATTTTGATTCTGAAAGGTTTGAATTATGAGAGTTGCGGTGTAATCGATTCGATTAGACTTCAGACATTGCGTGTGATCGTGATATTCACTTCTATATAAACCAAGTGAGTATCATTTCAGAGGGAAAAATATTCTACTATCCATTTCATAAATCGAGACTTGTCAATTTGTGAATTGAAAATTATTTTTTCTATAAAATTAATTAAAATTATTTTATGTTTATAATTTTATAGCCTTTAAATTTTTCATTTTTAATTTACAAACTTAAATATAATTTTTACATCGTGGAAAATATTTTTTTTTTTTTTTTTTGAAAAAAGTACCAAAAAAAAAAGTAATTATTTAATTAAGAGTAAAAGAAATGGAAAAAAATAAAGGGAAGAAAATTTTATCGTAAATATAAGAAAATAAAGGGGAAATAAATAAAAATAAATGATTGTATGGAATACTTGTTTGAGAGAGTCGTAAATATAAAAAAAAAAAAAAGTGGGCACACTCTAATTCTTCAATTATAAAAGGCTTCCTTTCACTTTGCTTCATGTATATGGCTTTCTCTCCACAATCTTGACATGGGTATTGTGTAAGGATGCGTGTGAAAAGAATACATATATACATATATGAGGGTAACAGTTATAGAAAATGTGTGGCACTCTATATATATATGCTACTTAGCCATCATAGAATCGAAGGCGTTTGGTTCTCGAGTTAGGAAAATGGCTGTTATTAAATCGATCGTGGCTGCTTGCTTTAGTTGAACGTGTGCAACGAGGGTTGTTGGAGTTTGGCCAGGGGTTCAACTAAAAACATAAGAATTCACAACGAAAAAAAAAGGACAAGAATTTTTTATTTAAAAAATTAAAAAAATTTTTTTTTTTTATAATTTTTAAACAATTTCTACATCTGTTTAAAAAATTATCGTCAAAATTAATTAAATTCACGCCTAAAGAAATAAGAAAAAAAAATTCAAATAATAAATAATAAAAAATCGTTTCTATTATTCCAATATGCTAACTTCCCACGCAATTGTTCATAATCATTTAAATATATCTTTCATTCAGAATTTCTGATCAATGGTTAAAATATAAAGGACAATACAATCATAGAATATAGTTTCGATTATTGTTACGTGTTATTTCATGAATTATTACCACTTTGAGAAATGGAAATAAAAGTGGAACATTTTTTCATTTTCCATAGTCTCTACATTAGTGGGATTAAAGTTCAATAAGTACTCAGTGTTTTTTTCATCTAAGTGAAAAAAAAAAAAATAAACTTTAAAGTTCAATATCAATTCAAATTTGAGAAAAATATTTGTAGCAAATTAATAAGGAATTGATAAAAAAAAAATCTTCATATTTTTTTTTTTTCGAGAAAGTTTTGCTAAATGATAATTAAAAGTCAAGAGAGAAAAAAGTTAAAAAAAAAGTTTTTAAAGTTTTTAAATCGTTTGAATCAGTCTTTTATTGCAATTGAATAATTAATCTTTTTTTGTGAATAATTTGCCTCTAGTGAAAATTTAATTAAAAATATAATAGTATATAAATTAATAATAATTAATAGATCAATAATGATTAATTAATAATAAAAAATTAATTAATTGCGTTGGTATTTTATAGTTTTTTTTTCTCCTCATAAAAGTGCATTGACACTGAGAAATCAATTTGTACTTTTTTTTTCTACTTTTTATTTCTAAAGTATAATCGATAGAACAGTACTTTGTCCTCTCTTGGTTTTCATCTCTCTCCCGAGACCAATGATTGCCTCTGTTCTTCCTCTTTTTTTTCAAATTTGTTTTATTTTCTCTCTCTCTATATATATATATATATATATATATATATATATATATATATATATATATATATATATATATATATATATATATATATATATATATATATATATATATATATATATAATCCTAAACTCTAAGAAAAAGTTTTAATCGACACAGCCCACACATTTTAATAAAACTTTTCTCTAATGACAGTAAAAGAAAAAATATCACACCACTTTCATTTGTCTTTATAAATATTTGAAAAAACTTCGTTTCTCTAACTTTACTGTCGTTAAAATTTTATTGTATTTTTTTAAAAACTTTTTTCAAAAAAAAAAAAAAAAAATTTTTAAATTTGTTTATAATTTAGCAAAGAAAAATTAAATAATTTTTTTTAGAAAATTACATCACTCTAAAAAATTCCTTAGATAAATAAGAGTCAAATCTTAGTAGTCGAAAAATAGTATAATTGATGTCATTTATATACTTTAAATGATGATTGATGTACATATTTTGTTCCCAACTATTTTCATCTTACTGATTATGAAAATCAAGTAACAAAACACGTGTACAGCACACTCTCGTAGTTTTATGAGAAAAAATAAATCGAAAATTGTATTATATTTTCCATATTTTATGTGAAATAATTGAAATTTAATTATTTTCATTGCAAAAAAGAAAAATTTATTTTTTAAGGAAAAAAATTGAAATATCAATTTTATGAGATTTCAAGTTTATACATATAAATTGCCTCAAATTAAATCCCTATGAGAATTGAAAATGTAAAGAAGAAAAATATGACATTCGATTCCCACGAATAGAAGTTCAAAAACAAATGGTTGGAAGGAAAAAAGATAATAATAAAAAAAAAAAAAAAACAATTACTCTATGCGGAAGCTAAAAGGAAAGAAAACTATAATTTTTATCAACGTTCGGAGATTGTTCGGGGACAAAAAAAAAATATTCCAAAAACAAATTATTTTCCCTCTTTCTAAAATCTATAATTTTTTTCCCCCTTTTCTTTAAAAATTATATTTCTCAAATTATTTTTGAGAAATAATTATATTTGCAGAATAAATATAAAGCCGCTGTTTCAGATTGACTTAATTGGCATATATTAAAAAAAAAAAAAAACAAAGTAAAAATTTGTCTTAAAAAAAATATCTTTAAAACAATAGAAAATATTATCGCTTTTAAAAGTTGTTTTAGAAATAATTATACTGTGGATGCTTTGAAGCTCTTTCTCGACAATTATTTCAAAAAATCAAAGGAACGATTATATTTTAAAACACAAAGCGAGGAAAGCGTCGTTGTATTCGTTAGAGTTGAAGTCATTAGCATTAATCTTGTGATCTCTGATTCTATACAGAGACCATCTTTTCCAAACATAATTTAAGTTTTAGGAAAATCTCAAGTCACAGTTGTCAAGAAAGTTTCTCTAAAACAGATGCTTACTCATCATCAATTATAAATTAATGAAATCACAAATGTATAGCATTTTTTTTTTAAATCGATACTACAAAAATATTATTTAATTAATAATTCTGATTTTATAATAAATAAATTAATAATTCTAATTTTATAATAAATAAATAATTATAAATTATATAATTAATTATAATTAGTAATGATGATTTATTTGATAAATAAAAAATAAAAAATCAAAGACAATTATAATAGAAAAACATTTTTTTCTTACTTTCATATATAAACAGGGGTATTTTTCTTTTATATATAGAAAAGAAGCAATTAGTACTAAAGTAATAAAAAAGTATGTCGGAATTTCTAAAAGGGGGGGAGGAGGAGGGTTTCTCGTATATTAAAGCGACTACATTTTCTTTTTTTTTTTTATGAAAGAAATTTGTGTTGTATATATGATAGTCAACGTATAAACATTTACGAAACGGGCATCGTATTTTAAATTAAAAAATAATCCCCTAGATTATATCAAGCTTATGCTTTAAAAAAAAAAAAAAAAAAAAAAAAAACTTGTTTTCATTAAAACATTCTCTTTATAAAAATGAAAGTGCACTAAAAGCTTGCAATTTATAAATTTTTCAACTAGGCAAATATATATATATAAATATACTTTCAATATCTTCATTATCAATATGTAGAAATTAAACTATTTTAAAAATTAATATTTAAAGGAATTAATAATATATTAAAAAATTAATAATTATTATTGTTTTATTATTTGTATCATTTTTTTTTTATTTGTAATATTAATTAATTATTAAAATTTAAGTAAATAAAAAATGTTTATTAGTATATTATTATTATTACGATTATTATTTATATAATAAATATATATATTTATATTTTATATATATATATTTTTTTCAATAAATAAATAAATAAATTATTATTATTATTATTATTATTATTTTAAATTGTTGTTGTTGTCTTAGGTGCAAAAAGAGAAATTTTTTTTTATCTATTTTCTTTGCTGTATGAAAATGTGGTTTCAACTAGGTTAAAGTGTATTCAATTTTCATGTTTTCCGCCCATACATAAAAAAGTTACGTAAGATTGCATACAAGTGTAAAAAAACGTAAAAATTCGATGTACACCAAACCCCTTTGATAGATGCTTACCTAATATATAACTAAAAATCATTGTCCCGTAAATTCAAAATTTTGTTTTGTATTTTTTTTTTTGTTTTGCCAGATTTATTTATTATAAATTTGCGAATATCTCAAAAAGCAAAATTGATTTTTTCAATTATATTTTACATATACACTGAAAAAAAAGAATTTGATTCACATAATCGATGACTATTATCAAATAAATATTTATTTTTATATCAAATATAATTATTATTTGAATCAATTATTATAAATATGGTATTTATTTTAAATACAGAAATTAATGGTTCTATATAATATACAATTTAATTCAAATAAAAATTATTTGGTTCAAGTATAGATATTTATTTGACAATATAGTCAAGTAATTGATTATTTGAATCAAATATACGCATTTTTTTTTTAATGAATTCCAATAGAATTAATTAAAATATAATAATTTTTGAAAGAATTCTCAATAAAAACGTTTTCTTAAATTTGAAATATATATTTTTATTTAATTTCATTCGAATATTGTAAATAAATAATTACTCAAACCAAATAAAATTTTAATTGAATTTATAATTTATTGAAACAAAATTAAATTAAATAATAAATTATTTCATACCAATTTTATATTTATTTAATAATAAATCGAATGATTTTTTTTCTCATTTTCCTAACGGAACTTCTTTTTTTTTATATATATATATACGGCCAATGAATGAAATAATTAATTTATCCTTTTTTTTTTTTTTGATTTTTACACAAAAACCACGCAGGGGATAAAATAATAAACCGTTAATTATATTAGTGTCTGAATAAATTTCACCTACATTCGAGAGAAAATTTATGTGATATTCCCCTTTTTTTTTTTTTTACCTCTTGGTTTCTTTTTTCTTATGCTATACATTCGTGCGAATAATCGTCAAAGGGACAAAATTCTAAAACTTGGAAACATTGAAGGACGACGAAATGAGACTATATATATAAGAGAGGGAGGGAGGAAAGGGGGGAAGAGAGTTTGTATGGAAGTGAGGGTGCAAAGAGGGTAAAGGTAAAGGGGAGGGGGAGTTTGGATAAAAGGGGGAGAGTTTACGAGAGATGGGCAGTAAAAGGGGATGGGTGCGGATAACGGGAAGGGATGCGAGTTGTCGCGCAGACCGAGTAGTCCAGGGGTAGGTGAAGTGAGGTGGCAATCAATAAATATACAGAACCGGCAGGCAGAGAGGAGAGAGAGAACCATGGCTCGTCGTTGCGTCTGTCCGTCCGTCCGTCGGTTCTACGGTCCATCCATCCATCGCTCGTTTTACGTTCTTGTGTTACCAAAGCTGACTCGTTTCAGCTCCAGCTCAAGCTCTCCAGGCTCCCGAGGCAAAATCTCACTGACAGAATGCTCAACAGGCTCTCTTTCTCTCTCTCTCTCATTCACTCAACGAAGGGCAATAGATAAAAAAAGGAGAGGAAAACAAAAAAAAAAAAAATTACATAGAAAAAGTTTCCAACAGAAAAAGAAATGTGAAACGTTAAAAAAAAAAAATAAAATGAACCCGATCATCAAGGAAGAGAAAGAGAAGATGATGAAAGCTTCCCTCTCCTTCTTGGGCAGGACCAGATTCGTTTCGCGAATAATCAACCATAATTCCAAAACAGAAGTTCGCCTCAAGGCTTATAAAAACATATAATCATTTTTGTTTCGACAATGAGAAACCTCAAAGCGGTGAAAAAAAGAAAAAAAAAAAAAAAAAAAAAAACCCCATCATTTCAAAAACAGCGAATTTATCAATAACTAAATATTTTCCATTCAAATGATTTTTGAAAGAATTCCCCTTTTTTTAAAGAGACACAAAAAAAAAATTGATTTAATCCTTTTATTTCACAAATATTTATATACTTTGGAAACAAAATATTTTCCTAATTCTTTGATCCTAAAGAGAAAATTTTAGAAGAAAAAAATTAGAACGAGACTTAATCAAAGTGACATTTTTTTTTTGGGGGGGGGGGGGGCGAAAGAAAGTCGAATCAAAGGAACAAAGATGATCGGTCAAGGACGGAGACGAAAATTATTATTCTCCAGTCGTTCGATTCTAAACCGAAAAGAATAAAGGTGATTCCAGAAAAAGGGTACAGAAAAGAAAAGAAAAAAAAAACAAAAGAATCTATGGACGAGATGATCATTTTTACCGCATGCGATAAAAGCTAATACGTAGCCATTAATCACTTTTTCGCCTGTCTCGAAGAAAACAGGTTTCTGCCACGGTTCGTCAGACACTTTTATAAGTATACCGAAAAATGAATAGACCTCGCAAAATAACATCTTTTCAAAAAAAAAAAAAAATTGAATTTCAACTTTTTTTTCCAAAAGCCAAATAAATAATTTACCACACTTAGAGAAATAGTCGAGCTTATTAACTCATTTATTTGTTACAAATATATTTTATTTTATTTAAATAAAATATTTACTTGAGCCAAAGAAAAAGTTAATTTTTGACAAAATTTTTATTTACGCCAAATAAATAATTTAGTACGCTCTGAGACAAATAGTTATTTAACATAAATATATTTTATTTGGTTCAAATAAATCATTTCGTGTTCTTAAGTGGTGAAAAAAAACTGAACTAAATAAAAACAATACTTCCTCTATGGAGGAGGAAACAAAAGTTATTTTAAAAAAACTAATAAAAAAACTAGGAAATTGAAACAAAAAGTTAGTTTTAAAATCAATTTCCTAAAAGAGAGAAAAAAAAATCAGTTTTCGTTTCACTTTCGTTGAAACTCATAATTTAATTTCCCCTCGCTTTTCTTCGTTAATTCTATTTTAACATAGAAAGTGGGTAACAGCATAATAATTTTGTCGACCTCATTGATTTCAATTGTAAAAGAGGTGTGAGAATGTGAAGAAGCCATTTGGAGGGATAAAAAAGGAAACGAGTGCGAGCAAGAAAGAAGGAAAAAGACAAGAGAGAAGAAAAAAAAAGAAGTAAAGGACAAAAAAAAGAACAAGGTGAAAAAGAAGAGAAAAATGAGAAAATAGACAATATATATATATATATATATGAGTAGACTTACCACCAAAAAGGGCGGCAGGATCGAGCAGGGGGTTGGCTTGGTCCGCCTGGAGTTTCTCGGAGGTGGAGGTGGCGCCCGGCGTCGCCGTTGCCTCGCTACCACCCCCGCCGCCTCCGCTGCCACCCGACGCGGAGTTCTCCTTCTCCATGCCGGTCCCCTGAAAACCATATAACCAACGTTACCATTAATGCTTTCCTCCATAATTCCACTTTTTCCCTCTTCAAATAGTTTCCTATTTTTTTAATATAGCAAATGTTACACATAACAAACTAAAAATAATTTTATAAAACCACAAAATTAAAACTTAATTTTATAAAACTACAAAATTAAAACCTAATTTATAATATATAAATATTTATTTGACCAAAATAATTTTTATCTGAACCGCAATAATTTTTCTATTTGAATAAAATAAAATTTAATTGACTCACAAAAATTATTTGGCTTCGAGAAATATTGAGAAGAGAGAAACAGAGAGATAAATATTTGATTATAATCAAATAAAAAATTATTTGGTCCAAGTAAATATTTACTTGAAGCAAATAATTTTTTATTTCAATTAAATAAACTGTAACCACAAAATTTTTGTATTTGAATTAAAGATACAATTTTTTCAGTGATGCTAAGTAAAAAATTTCTATAGTTATTTTAATCAGAAAAATAATTAATAAAACAAGATAGTTACTTAATTGCACCCAGAGAAATGATTTAATTCGAATCAAATAAAATATATTTGAGTTAAATAAACGGATATTTGCCTCAGAGCAAAAATTATTTATTTGGCGTAAATAAAAATTTTTCTTTACCTCAAATAAATTTTTTATTTCAATGAAATAAAATATATTTACAACAAATAAATTAGTTTGTAGACTCGGAGATAAATATACAATTTCTCTGAGTGTGTTATAAATATTTCTTTGTATTAAAATAATTATTATTTGTATTAAAATATTATTTGTATTAAATAATTATTATTCCTATTAAATAATTATTTTTGTGTTAATTTTTGGTTTTTATATATATTTATTTGTATTTATTTCCAATAGAAATTAATTTAATTCAAATATTTACTTCGTTCAAGTAAATATTTATTTACAGTCAAGTAACTGAGTGAATAAAATAAATTTTTTATATATACAATTTTTTTCTAAAAAAAATTAGAAATTAAAAAAAAAATTGTCTCCTCAACGAAGGAGGAACAAATTAAATTTTAAGAATTTCCAAAAATGAGGGTAAAATTATAAATCCTCTTTGGTATAAAATGGACATTAAAAAAACAAATGAAATTGAAAAAAGAAATAATTATAAAAATTGAAAGTAAATAATCAAAGATATTGTTATGTAATAATGCAACGATAAGACAATAAATGTAAAATGCAAACATTTATCTCCCTCTCTCTCCCTCTCAATCAGCTGAAGAAGAAAGGTTTATTCCCCCCACCACCACCTCTATTCCCCTCCAGCGCTTTGATCAGCTGACTGGTGTACTCCCCTACTTCGTTCCAGCTGTGTTGTATAAATATACATCGTTACGTCAGGTTAGGTCAGGTTAGGCTTGGCTAGACTAGACGCCGTACAGCCAACACCGTTATTATTATACATATACATACATAAATTCATACATGCTTACATACATATATAATTTACTAATACAGTATTCTCTCTACAACCTGTATAAAATATATACATATATATATATATATATATATATATATATATATATATATATATATATATATATATATATATATATATATATATATATATATATATGTACGACCCTGTTATTTAAGTCACATTGAACTTGATTTTTATATATCATATTTTTTTTCACCTACTTTCTAATTATATTTTTAATTTAATTTTTTTTTTTTTTAATAAGCGCAATTTAAAATTAATTTCCCTCTGTTTTATTTATAAACTCAAGGAAAAGTATTTAATTTTTTTCATTTAACGGCCTTTTAAATGATTCAAAATATTTATTTGATTTTAAATTGAAAAGTAATAAATTTTTTTTTTTTCACTGATTAAACTTAATTAATTTATTAACTTATATATTTATACTAATTTTTATTTTCAAAAAAAATTAAAACTCTTTAGAATTTATATATATAAAAGAATCTTATGAGAAAAAAAATCATTGAATCAAACTTTACTGAAAATTGAAAGCATCTTTCATATTGGAAAAAGAATTTATTTTTTTTTTTTTGTTTGTCATTCGACATTTATCAAAAGTTTTCATGTCGATTCAAGGAAGCCTTTCGTTTCCCCGTCGATGTTAGAAGCCAACGAAAGTATCTGATATGATACCACACAAAACGGTAAATGACATTCACTTTTTTAAAAAAAAAAAAAAAAAAAAAAAAAAACGCTTACACGTGTCATCACTTTATAACCAGGAAAGAGTTTAATAAAACAAAAATAATAACGCAAAAAAAAAGTATTGCCCCCTTTATATGAAAAAATATTATTTTTAGTTACAAATAAACTATACACTCAGAAAAAAGATATGTTTGAACCAAATGTACAATTTTTTTATATTTACCCAATTTTTTGGTTACTTCAAACGAAATTTGTTTATTTTAAATAAATATTTATTTATGATCTTAAATAACTGTTTGGTTTATTTTATAATAAATTTTTGGAACAAAAAAAAAATTTGATTGAGCTAAATAAACGTTTTGTTTATGCAACCAAATGTTTGGTTAACTGTATATCAATGCATTTATTTTGTTGATTTAACAAAAATTTGGTTGCTTCAAACGAATTTTTTTCTGAGTGTACAAAACTAATTTCTTATTTAAATAAAATTTTTTTATATTTCTTCCGCTAATTTTCATTTATTTAAGAATTATTGATATCTCAATTTTTTAATATAGATATACAATTTGCATATAAAATTAATTTTGTTCATTTTTTTTTTTAAATTGCAAACGAGTTTTTAATAATTGATTTTTTTTTATTTAATCACCAACACCTGTGGTCTATAAATAGAATAATAATAAATGCAATATAGTAACAATTTATTTTTAACTAAACAATACTCTTAATTCGGAAAAAACACTAATTCGCTCGCGAAATCTGAATTAGTAATAAAATTAGTTAACAATAATTAGTCAAAATTAACTGTTAGAAAAATTTTGACTGACTTTTTACTCCAAAAAAATAACTAATTTTTAACTAAAATATTAGTACACGGAGAAAAATACATTTTTGCTATTATATTGATAGCTAATTTTTAGTTATTGTAGCTGATAATTAAATGGCAAATTAGTTATTTAAGAACTAACAAATTAGTAGAAATATTAATAACATTTTATTACACTTAGAAAAATGGTATAATCTCTAAATCTGAATTAGTAAAAATGTTTACTAAATTAAATTAGTGACTCACTTTTTCCTTTAGAATTAGTTAAATTTTTACTAATTGTTAGTTAAAGTTACTAATAATTAGTAAAATTTTACTTATTCAGAAGCAAAAATTGAGTCACTAATTCAAATTAGTAAACATTTTTACTAATTCAGATTTAGAGAGTATTTTTCTATTAGCCAACTAATTTATTTGTTGCAAATATATTTTATTTCATTTTTAATAAAAAATTTTATTTAGCTCAAATAAAATGTGAATCAAATAAAATTTATTTCAATTATATAAAATTAAATTGAAACAAACAAATATTTAGTTTGTTCTGAGATAACTGTATATATTTTTTCTGCTCTCTAAATCTATAAATTAGTAGTTTTCTACTAATGAAAGAGTGCGTATTCGTTTACCAATTGAATTAGTAACAGTTTTGACTAATTTTTAGTAAAAAATTACTAATTCCTAGTAGAAAACTACTAATTCATGGAATAAATCGTATTTTTTACTATTTTAAATTAGTAATCCGATTTAATGCATGAATTAGTAGTTTTCTATTAGAAATTAGTAGTTTTTTTAAAATAAAAATTAGTCAAAACATTTACTAATTCAATTAGTAAACGAATGCGCTTTTCTTTAGTAGAAAACTACTAATTCAGATTTAGAGAGTGCATGTAAATTTGTTCCCTAAGATATAGATTTAGAGAAAGAGAGTATAATAAAATACGAAAATATACCCTCTAAATCTTAATCAGTAGAAATTTTACTAATTCAATCAGTACTTTTCATTTTAACTGAAGTTTCAGTTATTTTTTGAAATTTACTAATATAATTAGTTAATATGCAAGCAATAGAAAATAACTTATGTAAATCAGTAATTTGTATATAACATAACCTTTAAAATTAACTGTTAAATCAGTATAGATTTTGCGGCCGCTGCCATATGTTTATATTACTGATTCAATCAGTAATTGATATTTTACTAATTGAATCAGTAAATTTCTACTAATTATCAGTTGCTCAATTCTCGCTATGGCAATTAGTAGATTTCTACTGCTAATCAGTGAAATATGACTGATTCAGATTTAGAGAGTATAGATGACACTGAAAAGTTACCAACGTTGAATCGATGAAAAGAATTTTTTTCCCCTAAGATTTAATATTTCCCCGCCTTATAATTGAGGATTTTTAGTGTTGAAGAATTGTATTCGGGACAAAAAATAAAGAAGTTTCAATTTAAAAAAAAAAATTGGTTCTTGGCCGAATCAACTCTCTTAATTTGAATCAGTGAAATTTCACTGGTGATATATAGCTACACGGAAAAACTTTGTGCAAGAATCATTCCTAAATTTGTTCAGGAACTGAGGATATGAGAATAATTTAAGAAATCTTATTTTACTCTCTTAATTTGAATCAGTGAAATTTCACTGGTGAAATAGCTAGAAGTCGGTTACTGAATCATTTAGTGAAATTTTCACTGAAAATCAGTCATATATCACTGATTTCCAGTGAAAATTTCACTAAATGAATCAATCAATCTGTATTATCGGTAATGGGTAAAACAGATTGACTGATTCATTTAGTGAAATTTTCACTGGAAATCAGTGATATATGACTGATTTTCAGTGAAAATTTCACTAAATGATTCAATAACCGACTTCTAGCTATTTCACCAGTGAAATTTCACTGATTCAAATTAAGAGAGAACGTTGGTAAATTCAGCGTCATAAATATAGGACATTATAATTGTTCTTTTTTTCGAAAAATGGAAAATAGAGAAACATGAGAAGAAAGGAATTATTTATTACAACGTCAGTGTTGTTCGGTTGATGTGAATCTGAAACGTTAGAAGAACCACGGACTGTGAGAACAGAGAGAACCAATGCAACGTTATACTTGGCGTTAGTGACGACTGGGACCAATGTTGCGAGAGGGCAAAGGGAATAGGGGGGGAGGGGTGGCAAAAGGGTGTCAGAGGGGGTTGGTACGAGTAAAAGAGAGAGAGAGAGAGAGAGAGAGAGAGCACAGAACGAGAAAGAGCAAAGTTGTAGGTGGTGGAGGAGGAAAAGCAATCAATACGGAGCCAGCAGAGCAAAACCATCCCTCGACTCCTGTCTCCCTCTCTCTCTCTCTCTCTCTCTCTCTCTATAACTGGCACGAATACGACGGATGTATAGGTAAAATCGTAACAGGGCCTCCGCGGCAACATGAATGCTCTCTCTCTCTCTATATATATATATCTCTAGCGACTGGTTACCAAACCAACAGAAGTTTCGAATTATTTAAGAAACCGTTTTTGGTTAATTTGGTTAAACCATTATTATTATTATTATTATTATTATTATTATTATTGCTTTTATGTTTCACGAGGTGAAAGATGAGAATTATATTGGGAAAATAGGACAATGAACCTTACTATATATGCGAGAGGAATTAATAGAGTAGCGGAAAAAGAAGTAACCGAAAATAGTAAGTTACTTTTTCCATATCATTTTCTTTTTTTTTTTTAATATTACTTCTTCGATAAAATCACTTGTTCTCAAATTCTCTAAGAGCCCTAACATATTTTTTCAAATAATTAAATATAATTTTTTATCTAAAAGAAAAAGAGATCAAAATATATATATATACTTACAATTAATTTCCAAGTCTCAACTCATAGCTAATGGCATCTTTACAAGGACCCATCACACCTGAAACAACACCAAAAAAAAAAAAAAAAAATAAGAATTAATTACCATAATATATATAATATATTAAAATACTTATTTGAAATAATTTTTTTTTTCAATATGAAGAAAAAAAAGAAGATATTTCTAATTTGATTAAAAAAAATATGTTGGAAAACGGATATATTTCGAGGGACACGATAAATTCAGCGGGAAGGCAAAATTTGCCTGTGCTCTCTCACAAGTAACAATATTTATGGATTCTGTGCACATATGTTTTCAACGAGAGTAAAATGCCCGGATATATATCGGCCGAAAAAAAAGAATCTTCAAATTCAATTTCACATATACTGTTAAATCGAAAACCGTATTTGTTTATATATATATATATATATATATATATATATATATATATATATATATATATATATATATATATATAAATATCAAAAATAAGCGCAATAAAAAAATTAACCATATCGTAAACAGTGTGTATAGAAATATTTCATGTTTCTTTTTTTTAACCTCCATTTTTTATTTTTTTCCAATATTATACGATTCTATTATTATCATCGTAAAACAAAAGGTATTAATTTAATACTAACTTTAGGTACTAAATTGCCTTTTTGGTTCTATTTTAATAACTATAAAATCGGTACTATTTTAGTACCTTCTTTTTTACAGTGATATTCACTCAAAAACTTAAAAAAATTAATAGTGAATAAAAATTACTATATTATTACATAAAGAATAATTTTTTTTTTAATTGTAGAGTGCAGAGAAAAAGTTTGAAAACTATAAAAAAATTTGATTCGAATTGGTATTTAATTAAAAAGAATTAGAATTATATATATATATATATAAAATAAAAGAGAGAATGAATTTCGGATGGAAAAGAGTTAGCAGTGACTTGAGTGACCAGTATAACTGACTTTGAATTCGTTATTTAACGAGAGAACTCTAATTGGATCCATGAGAAGCATGATAACGGCCAATCCCGACCTATCGTACGCCAATAAATAGATAAAAAAAAAAAAATTAAATAAAGAGCAATCACCACTTTTAATTGTTTTACCATTTACGTAAAAGATAAATTATTTTTCAATATATAATTATACATAGATAATAATTAATATATTAATCAAAAATGAACATAAAATATATATATTTATATATATATATATATATACCCATCATATAATTGTAAATTTTATTATTCAAAATTAATAATTTTATCATTGCGAATAAAAACAGAAATTAACACCCATAATAATTAAAAATAAAATTGAATATTTAATTTAAATACAAAATTAATTATGAAACTGAAAAAAAATTTTTAAAAAATTAATAATAATTTACAAATTTAATTACGCATATATAAAACTTACGAATTATTTAAGATTAAAATCATTGAATAAGAACTTATTAATTTAAAAATTAAAATCATTCACAAATCGAAACAGTTTAGTGTTAATTTGCAAATTCATTTAATAAATAATATTTTTTATATAGAAAGTTTTTGTTTTATATTTTTTTTTTCTACTTGGGGGGGGTGATTATGTCGCATTCTGAAACAGAGTGTAAATACCTGGAAAATTTTCAAACTAGGTGAAGGTTAATGGTCAAACCAGAAGTTTTAATAAGAGTAATGTTCGCAAAAAGTGAGATTTATAAATTTACAAGTAAAATTTCTCGAAACAATTTTTATATATAAAATGATACAATAATTATTGAGAAGAAAAAATAACATATTTTAAAAGAAAAAAAAGAAGGTATTTTATATCATTTTTATAATTTTTAATTCTCAACAAACTTTTTTTTCAATAACTATTACATAATTTATTATTATAACCTCAGTTTATTATTTAAATAAAAATAATTACTGATTATTTAAATAATGAAAAGTTTATAACAATAATAATATAATAATATAATAATATTAATAATAATAATAATAATAATATTTATTATTATTATTATTATTATTATTATTATTATTATTATTATTATTATTATTACTATAATTATTATTATAGTAATAATAGTAAAAAGTAGTAAAAAAAATTAAAATTTGTTATTGTAAATTCTAGAAAGAAATGAATTAATAAAAAAAATTTTAATTTGTGAGCTCTTTGGTGTTAATCAAAATTACGCAATTATTCAAAGAGAGTGGAAATAATCGATTGTAAATAAATTAAGACGAGGCTTAAAGTACAATATATATAAGGAATAGTCAAATCGATCCGTACAAGTTTAGCTCTCTACATAGCGAATATTATGTGTACCAGTTAGATAGAGACAGATAGAGCCTGCAACCTACACATATACACACACCTCTCTGTATTAACTACTTCTTAGCATGCAAGGAGAAGTCATCTATTTTCTATTCTACTTTTGCTGGGTGCGACAGAAGAATATTTAACATCCAATGGCATATTTCATAATGCAAAAAAAAAAAAAGAAAAAAAAAATTAGAACGGAGAGAACAATTCTTTAACTAAATTCTTGGAAAAGTATATATATACATATATATCATCACACAATTAACAATATCAATTTTCTTATACGACGCAATCATCCGCGCGTAAGGAAATCTAAAACTGATAATAAGATAATAATATTAAAAGAAGTGAATCAGTAAATTTCAATTTTATAGAAAAATAAGATTTTTTTCCTATATACAAAAATGTGACTTTTTTTCTATATAAATATAAATAAAGTTTATTTTATCCAAATATTTGCAAATATAATAATTTTTTGACAGAAACAAAAAAAAGTAAAAAAATTATTATATTTGCAAATATTTGAATAAAATACACTTTATTTACATTTATATAAAAATTATTTGGTTCAAATAAAATAATTAAATTTCACAGAAAATTAAAAGGCATTAAAATAAGCTGCAACGCTTCTTATTTTAATACAATTTTTCATATTTTAATCCATTTTGGTATTAAAATAAGCAAAATTGTATTAAAATAAGAAGCGTTGCAGCTTATTTTAATGCCTTTTAATTTTCTGTGTTAATAAAACTAATCAAGTAACCGCGATTATTTAAAATAAATTTTTTTTCTCATGTATAAACAAATCATAATTAAACATTTATTATAAACCAAAAAAAAAAAAGAAAAATTGAATTCAGAAAAAAATTACTAAAAATTCTCAATCATATATAAGAGAGACTAAAATGTCCTTGACGCTATACACATTTTACCGATGTCATCAGTGAATGATCCTTTTCAATAGACTGTAAAACGAATGTGCGCATTTCAAGGCAAAAAAGAAATGAGTATGCAATGATTAGTCAGGAGTGCAAAGTCGTAAAGACTTCATAAATATATGTGACAAAATAATTCTTTTTTTTTTCTCAATTTTATTCCAATGGATTTTCAGAAGAAAGGAAAAATTGCTTATTTTTTCAATACCTAATATTTTTAATTACGTTCAAAAAAAAATTTTTTTTATATATATATACAGAGATGAAAAAAAAAATTTTTTTTTGTTATGAATCGTTTCTTTTTTTTTTTTTTTTTTTTTGCTATACAAAATGTGAAAAAGTCAGAATGATAGAGAAGTCGTTTGTAAAACGACTAATGATGAATAATCTGAGCCGCCTGCGAGAGTTTGAGAAGTGGAACGCGTTTATAGGTCTATAGCACTTTGATGTCTTTTTCTGAGTGCTCTTCATATATTCTGCGTATATATGTTATATATTTTCCCAAAGAGCAAGACAGAGAGAGAGAGAGAGAGAGAAATATAACCGTTTTTGAAACAAATTTTCCATCATCCAATTTAAGTCACTTTTTAATATATATGAGCTGTGTATTTTAGTTTTTGTGCAATGAGCTTTAAAATTGCAAAGTGGTGTTAAAATATTAATATAATATTCTTAACAAATATTGTATATAGATAATTTTAACTAATATTTTTTTTTTTGTTCTATTTTTATATTATTCATACAAAATTTTATCTCATCAATTACTCTCTAAATCTGAATTAATGAGACAAAAGTTTTGAACGTTCAAATGAATGAAATTTTTTTTACAACTTCTTTAAGTACGAATTTTATTACAAAATTTTGTTTTAAATATCTAAAAAGAAATTATTATTTTAATAATTGTTTAATTTACTGTTTTATTTTACATTGACATCATAATTTTTAATAATTTATAGATTGAAAAAAAATATTTCGTTCATAATAACGTTCAGAATTTTTTTGGCTCCTGAATTAGTAAAAATGTTTACTAATTTAAATTAGTGACTCACATTTTGCTTCTGAATTAGTAAAATTTTACTAATTGTTAATAAAAGTTACTAATAATTAGTAAAATTTTATTAATTCAGAAGCAAAAGTGAGTCACTAATTTAAATTAGTAAACATTTTTACTAATTCAGATTTAGAGAGTATTTCTTTCTTTATAGGCAAAAATTTATATTAAGCACTGATGCACATTTTCTCTGTATGTATTTAAAATTGAATTTTTTATTCAGTTATAGAAATTAAAATAATATATTTTCAGAATAGATGGCAAATTATGTATTTAAAAATGAAGAATAATTTTTGAAGTTTTCTGAGAAGTTTATAACTAAACTATATTCTAATCTTCAACAATAGAATATTATTCTTCAATAGAAGTCAAGATAAAAAAATAAAATTCCCAACTGATAATGATTACCTATATATACAATAGAAACGAAAAAAAAAAAAAAAATTCGAACCATCAAAATCGAATTAAAAGAATATGGGAAAAAAATGAATATAGAACTCGACAAATTATTGTCGAGACCATAATCTAGATGATCATCATCACACTAGGAAATGTAGGGTTCATTGACCGACAGTAGAACTCACACGTTCTCGCGAAGGTCAACACTGAGGGTAACTGGTTATATTTTTGAGCTCGACTCCGATATCTTGGCACCAGCCAGCTCTCTCGCGATCGGTTCTTTTAAAACCCTTAAAATTCAAGATAATGTTTTATAATTTTTTTTTTCGAAAAAAAAAACTCCGTCAGGTTTTTCTC